AGCTGGCCAGGGCACACCCCAGTGACCTGCCTCCCCCAACCAGACCGAACCTCTCAACAGCACATTCATCTCTAAATCCTTCAGTGGGTTAATCTACTGATGAGTGTATCTTGATTCAGTTATCTTCTGCACACTTGAGAACTTGTGGGGAATATCCTTTATCTAAACCTCAGCAAAAAGTCAAGAAAGCAAAGGGTTAGTACAGGGCTTTTAAAATAGATGCTCAGGAAAAATGCTACAGATAGAGAGGTGAATTTGAGGCAGTCAGGAGTTAATGGATGAAGTACCTTTTGAGGTAGACTTTGATGGATGGTGAAAATGTGAAAAAGAAGTGATAGGCAATGAGACACATCAGGGAGGAAGGCTTTTTGGTCACTGGGCTGCAGAAATTTTCAGTGCTAAGGGCAGTAAGAGCCACGGAAGAACTTTAGGTGGGGGAAGACATCAGGGCCCAATGGAAAGAGCACAGACTTTAAAATATGCCCTCAGGGGCTGGGGATTTAGCTCAGTGGCATAAGCGCCTGCCTTGGAAGCAGGCAGTCGTGAGTTCAATCCCTGGTACCGGTAAAAACGAAAAACACCAAAAAAAAAATAAATAAATAAATAAATAAAATAAAAATAAAATAAAATAAAATATGCCCTCAGATCCAGATATGAGTCCCAGCTCTTCCAAGGGGTCAGCTTGGACCCATGCAAAGCCACTATTCTTCTCCAATCCTGTTTCCCCTTCTACCACCTAGGACCCCAGTTGTGTACCAGCATGGTACAAGGCCTAATGAGAGGGTGTGAGCAAGTTTGGAAGAAGCAGTCACATGCCATGTCCACAATGCCAAGGGTCTCCTATCTGTCAGCCTCTGAGGTCACATCAGCAGTTAGGTCCAAATGCCGCTAGCTCAAAGGTCCCCTTCCTACCTGTATACTGCAAGCCTTCAGGTTTTCTATGACTTTATTCTCCTCTTAGTGTTTTGGTGCACTCCCAGGGGTATTTGGCAGTCCTCAGAATCCCCCAGGACACTGACTTTCCCACTATCCAGGCCTTGGGGCTGCCCACCTGTGCTCCCTCATGCTGTTCTTGTATCGCTGCCACCAATACACCCCAGACAGCTGGCCCTACCCAGAGCACCAGACCACTGTCTACTCTGCCTGCAGCCCGCACCTCTTCCTCCTTGTCTGCCTCCCGGTTCCACCCTCCCAGAGGCTCCCACAGCACAACTGCTGGTGGCCTGGTGCTAGAGCTCCTTACATGCTGCTTGCTTTAAATCCATTTTCTCATCCACACACATCAGATAGCTTGCTATCATAAGCTGAGCTGCCATCAGGACTCGAAGCAGATGTCACCTGGCAGAACACGAAAATCAGTTTGGTGCATTCTGATGGCAGTTAGGCTGTCATTGGTGCCCAGAGAGGGCAGGCCCAATTCAGAAGTGAGAGCAACTAGTCTCAGGTGAAGGAAGTCTCAGAGGAAGAGACCTTGTAAAACAACTCCTCCAATTTCAGAATTTGGCCTTCAAGCTTGCCTTGGACCAAAAAGGGCAAGAAGTGGAGGCCAGTTGCTTGTGCAGGCCATTGTGGAACTGTATTGACTCACAGGTTTTCCAAACAACCTGGATACAAGGACCCTTGTCTGTTCGCCCTCTCCATCCTGAATCATTTCTTTCCACTTTGGGCCTGTTGCCAGCTTGGGTTCAAGTCCCCACTAATGGGTATAAAGATAGTGCTTTCAAGATAAGGAGACAAAGGGAGGAGCTTCGGGTGAGGGCGACAAGCCATCTTCACCGCCAGGGCCAAGGTGAGGATCTGGCGACACGGAAGTGGAGGCTGTGTGCTGTGTGGAGACCAGCCCTGGGCAGAGTCCAGACACTGAGGGCAGGCTGCAGTTTGCTGGCTCTTGAGGCTCCAGGCCCTGCTGATGTTTGCTAGAACAGTAACTGCCATTTCAGCGGTATGAGATGCCAAAGACAAAAAGAACAAGGTACAGATGAGACTCGCTTCGGTTCGAGTCATGTATTTGCATTAATAAGCATGTATACAGCATTTCCTTTTTACTGCCGTGTCGGACATTTTCTAGGAGCTTCACAAACATTAACTTTCCCAAGTTAATCCTGACATACACCTAAGAATTTAGGGTTGCTGTGGGTCATGGATGAATTTAAACTATTTTAACCTGAGGTTACCCCAGGGACTTTGTGCTCTCCTAGGCCGTAGGATTGTTTCTTCTTTAGGGCCAGCAATTTGGAGAATCTGCATGCTATGATGAACATCTGTCACTGTGCCTACCCTTGAGAAAAACATAGGCACTTATGTTGTAGGCCAATGTTTAGGCCAATATTGCCAGGATATTATGGTTACATCAGCTCCTGTATATACCAATCCAATAAGTTTTTTTTTTTCCATTTTAAATTGTAGTTTATGTCTTTTAGCTCCTATATATGTCTGCCAAAAAATTTTCTCCCTGTACCTGCAAAACCTCCTGCCCTTTCCACTGGGGCAGCATGGCCCATAGTGTAAGGAAGGAGCAATAGCTGACCTGTGTGATCTCCGGCTTCTATCTGATACAGTTGCCATGTCTGCATCGTCACCTGAATTTCATCCTTACAATCAGAATCAATTATGCCTATTTGGAGAATGGCTCCTTGAGAAGTTAGGCTGCTTCTTCCCATTAACAGACCTACAGTTCCTGGTGGCAAAGGTCCATAGATTCCTGTTTGAATTTTTTGGACTCCTAAAGCTGGAAATAACACACACGCTCTTTAGAGGGAATATCTAAGGCTGCTCTACTGCTGGCGGCAACAAGGAGACCATGCTAAAGCCTGGTCACAACCATTGCTGACAGGAAAGGCTTGATGATTTCCTGTATTGTTTGTCAGAGGGCCCCAAGATGGGTAAAGGATTGTCTGAATGGTCAGGTCCCTGTTCAGGTGCCAAAATATTGGTTTCCATGAGGAGACAGGTCCTCAAAATGAGACGTGGTGGATGAAAAGAAAGCAAGAGAGAAACAAAGTTGTGGGACGCAGGGGTAGGGTACTGGTGTGTCTAGGACTGAATCCTCCATTACAATTTTCTCTGACTTTTTATTAGAGTCTTTACAAAGAGCAGAAGTGGAATGTGGGAAGGGCAAAGTACAGAGAGATGAAAACTTAATTGTTTAACTATTGCAGTGACCCTATTTGGCTACATCTAGCCTTCATGTTTACCGTTCCTTTGGCCATTTCTTAGCAATGCATCTTGGGTTGCCCAAAAAGCATTCCACTGAGACTTAAGGTCCTGCATTCATTTCCTTTAATACAATGCATTTGTAAGACTTCCTCCAGAACAAACAATCATATGGCAGAGTAGAGCATGGAGTCCCTGGGTTAATCTCAAGTAAACTAGTTTGAGTTCACCTATGACCACAGGTTACTGCGACCCCATTTCATAGGTGAAGAAACTAAGGACTCAAAGAGCTAGTCACTCCCAAGCCCATGCAACTAGATGGTGTAAGAGTTGTCATTAAAACTCAGGTAATCTGGCTTCCAAGTTGGTGTTTCTGGCCTTGCTCGTAAAGAGGCAGGGCTGTGTTTGTCCTTTAAGGCTGCCTTTGGGGGCCCTCCTTTGCATCACCCCATAAACTCTATCCGCTTGCCCTTCATATGACTAATCCAATGCACCAAGGAGGCAAGGGGCTTTGAAGGAGAGTCTCCCTGGTCTCTGGCCTCTTGAAGTAAGTTCATTACCAGTCCTGGAAGGGGTAGAAGAGAAGAGACAGACACAAGACAAGAGCTTCTTGGTCTGTTCTCTGAAGGGAGGGATTTCTGGATTTCTGGATTTCTGCCCTCCGCTTTGATTCCTTTTTTTTTTTTTTTTTGTCTTTTTTGAGACAGAGTTGCCCTACGCAGTTCAGGGTGCCTTTGAGCTCAGCTTATAGCTGAGGCTGGTCTCGAACTTGCAACGATCCTCCGCTCTCAGCCATGTGAGTGTTGGAATTACTGGCACACGCCATAACACCTGGCTTGCTTTTATTCCTGAAGGTGGCATTCACAGAGCCTCCTCCCTCACTCTGTCTGGCCTGCCACAGGATCCATGAAAAAGTCCCTTTCCTTCCACAAAATGGCACTCTGTGTAGTCTTTGAATGAATTATTACTGAGAGCTGCCTTACACTGATTGCAGATGTAAGCAGAGACTGAAGACATTAAAAATAAAATCGGAAGGAATAGGCAGTATGCCTGTGGCCTGTGGCACGCGCACCAGCTCCAGTAAGCACAGGTCTTATTGTCTATCAGAAGCCTCCCTCTCTGGTCTTCTCCTTGCCTAAGCCCAGAGGTTCTAGATGGGTGAACTGGGAGCTGACTTGCTGCTGGTGCTGCCTACTGCTGTCTGATGTAGCTAAGTGTGAGAACAAGGCCACAGGGTCTCAGCTTCCCTCACAGGAATCACACCATTTAGGAATGACCTGCACTGCAGGGTAACCGATCCCTGTTCAAAGAGCTGTGGGAGAAGGGCATTTCCACTTAACCAAATCTGTCTTCTCAGAGCCCACAAACTCTGCTTTCTGAGTCTTCTTCTCTCTTCAGTGATCCCATTCCCTGATCCCTCCAAATCAAGGTGTCTTTGGTTTTCTGTTCCCTCCCAGGTAGGAATGGCTCTAAGCAACGTGGACTTTGCCAAGCGCAGAACATACAGCTGAACGGGACTCCCAGGATCCCCAAGAAGGACCACAGGCAGCTTCATGGCGTGGATGCTCCTGGAAGAACTCACACCAGCTCAAGCAAGGAACTCTCCAGCTGCAACCACCCTCCCCAAGGGCTACAGTGAGGCTTCCCTGCCACAAAGAGAGAGGACACTGTTTTTTTCTGGGAATAGCCAGCTCAGAGGAGGAGCAGAAGGAGGGACCAGTATCCCTTCCAAAGCAAAGACAGGGCTGTACCCAGAAACTCCTAAGGGGGAGCTAATGGGAAACAACTTGTCGGAGGGAGGGAGAGAGAGGGACAGAATTCAGGAATGACAGGGGCAGAGCTTATGAAGAGGGGGCTGGGAGAAGCAGGCTAATTGAGAACAGCTGTTGCTCTTCAATCTCGGAGATCTTTGGACTCTGCCAGGGGCAGGCTCACGGCATACGCCAACTATAAGGAGCCCGCGTAGGTTGCCTGAGTCAGCCCTGGGTTTCTCTGCCCACTCTAGTTCCCTGAAACTTCTGAAACAAAAGACCGGAGGAGACTCTCCACCTAACAGCTGGATCCGTCTTCCCCACTGCCAGACCCACCTCTGTCTGTTGCTGCCCAGAAAAGGCCTGGAAGAAGAGACAAGAGAGACAAACTTGCCCTCTCTCCCAGTCCCTCCATTCGCTCAGCACTGGCATCTGGAGACCCCATGGCTCGGGCTCACTGGGGTTGCTGCCCCTGGCTTGTCTTCCTTTATGGTAGGTGCATCCTGGCCTCTGGGACATCTGGCCTGTCCTCTCCGGGCTGAGAAGGGTTGGACTGAAGGCTGGGGCTCAGTTGTCTCTGTCTCTTGGTTGCTCTGTCTGTCTTGAGGAAGAGGCTCCATCAGGTCCAGTCTTTAGGATTCTTGTGGCTTGGGTCAAATCTAGTTCCCACCTTCCCACTTCCCCCTGTTAGTGACAGAATTATTGTGACACTGATTAGAAGTTAAGTAAGACTTTATAGAAGGCTACTGCAGTGGGCATCATGCAGCAGGAGAGACAGCAAAGGCCACTAGGGATTTATAGCCAATGAGCAGAGTTGGGGATCAGTGCATGAAAAGTTACTAGGCACCATCCAAGGAGTCACCAGGGGTAGTAGGGATACTTGCTGATCTGACTTCACAGGATTCTTGCTGAAGGCAGGCCAGGGTGATCAAGGGTAGTCATAAGAAATCCAATCAGGTATTGTGGTTGATCAGATATCAGTGGTTATCTCTGAACTGACTTGACTGAATTCTTGCCAAGGCAGGGCGGTGTAGGCCTGGTGGCAAGGACAGCATAGATATGAAAAGCCAAGTTTGAGGCCTGGTCAAGAAAAGATCTCAGAGGAGATTATCTGAAGTTCTGTCAAGGAGCATCTTTGTCACTCACACAGTGTCCTGTTTGTCCTCAACTAGATGCACAGTTCAGCTCCCCTCCCTTACCCCTGGCTTTAGAGAGGTCTGTCTTCCCTTTGCTCTCTGTCAGCAGGACACTGTTCATAATTCAACATCCAATTCAAGTACCTCTCTAGTGCTGGCCCCTGTGCTAGGCACCACAGAGTCACTGGGCTACAGAACTTGCTCCTGGGAGCCTAAACCTAGCCTCAGAGAACAACAAATCCTTGTGTCCAGAAGGACACATCTGGGTCCTGATTCTTAGGTTGGCACCATCTTGCTAGAGATCTGTTCCTATATAAATGAGCATTTATTTTCTTAAATTAATAGTGTGAGTTTCATCTCCCACTTGAGTTTATAAGACTAACAGCCAAGTAGGGCATCCATGGTGTTAGTCTCAGCCACTGTCTTTCTATCTTAGCTCAGTGTCTCAATACTCAGGCCTCCACATCCCTCTAGGGGATGCATAGGATGGAGAGAACTATCAGAGATTAAGGGATCTTCAGGGCAGGCATGCATTGTAATGCAACCCTCCCTTTTACAGTGGCCCAGAGCTAAAGGACAAAGCCCAGTGCCTGACACAGAGTAGGTACTTAGGAAACATTTGCTTAGTGAATATTGGGGCACACTAAATTGTGGTCTAGTCCAAATGTATAACCAGGTCTCCCTGTCCTCTATCCCTTCTAAGGTATCCCAAACCCTTCCAGGTCTACCTTCCATGGTTGACAGAATGAAAGAATGGAAAGGTTAGCCCCCAGTAACTGAACCCAGTGATACAGGGGACTGAAACTCCTGACCTATTGTGCCCGCGAGTTTATGGTCTCTAAAATCGAAGAATGAAGTTTAGGGACAACGGAGGTTAAGAGTAGAGTATATTTATTGAGAGAAAGAAATCTTCTATCTGAAGAGAGACAGATGGGGTCCCCAGCGGGTTGGCAAGGACTCTCTTTTCCAGGGACTTTTATAGAGTAAAACCATGGGTTCAAGTGTGGTGGGTGAAAGAGTTGCTGGCTCAGACTGAACACTGTAACCAGAAAAGGCTGCAGCTAAACTCCTCCCCCCCCCTGCCCCCTATGGACTTGATTGTAACCCTATATCCCCATCCTTAAGAACCTGTGCGCCAATGAGAAGCCTGTGCATCTCTAATGGCCTTAGGGCGCTGCCCTAAGCTTAGGCTATTTAGATGCCCCCATGCCACGTGTCAGAGAGAGTTCGCCAGAGAGAGAGTTCGCCAGAGAGAGAGAGAGAGCTCGCCAGATTCCAGCGGCCAGCGCCAGCCAGTGCGCCAGTCTCCACTCCCCGTGTTCCCGGAGAGACCACCAGCCCCGGGTGCAGAGATGCTGCGCCCCGGGGCCGGCGGCGGGGGGCCCCCTCCCCGAATTCCCGGAATAAAGCCACCTGCTGCCCACTACTTTCACGGCCATCCACTCCGCTCCATACCTCCCACGGACTTCCCTCTCTCTCCGCCTCTCCCTTCTCTCAGACCTAACAGTGGGGGGACTGGAAATTTACAAGGCAGATGGGCATAAGGTGGGACATAGCTGTAGTTAGCTAATAAGATCAATAGTTCAGGTAAAGTTGATTACAGTAGGGACAAATGGGGAAGCGACTCACATAGGAAGTGACCATTCTTAGAGCTGTGACTTTTCCCTAGGGGGATGGGATGGTGACTCTAGGCTTCCTGAGGGTGATAGGGAACTAATTAGAACATCAGTCCTTAGGATAGGGATGCATTTGTTTGATCCTTTGTTTTGAGGCCTGGCCCACAACAGGTGTCTGTCTCCCCCACAGATGCAAACTATCTTGGTTTCTGCACTGGCTCCATCGAGGACCAAGTCCTGTCTCACTGCCTATAATATTTCTAACTCAGCTGCCTGTCACACCAGGGCTGCATGCAGGCTAGGCAAGCAAGAGCTGTACCACTGAGCCACACCCCCAGCCATGCTCTTGTTTTGCATTCCAATGACCTGGGTTCAAATCTCCATTTGACTACTGACTCACTCTGACAAAGCTTGGGCAGGTTACCAAATCTATCTGGGCCTTGGCTTCCTCCTCTGTACAAAGAGAGCAGGAATATCCACATAGGGTTGTTCCAAGTATCAAATGAGATACAACTGTGCATTGCTTAATAAAGGGGATGTGTTCTAAAAAGTGTGCCATTAGGAAATTTTGGCATTGCACAAACATAATGAAGTGACTTACACAAACTAAGATGGCTATAAGATCATTCCATGATATAATCTTTCAGGTCCACTGTCACATACACAGCCTTTCGTTGAGCATCATTCTGCAGCATGTGATCATGCCATAAACATACCCATTGTTGACTGGGTATCTGGCACCCAGGAGGAGCTCTTTAAATGCTGTTTTTTTTCTTTGTTATCGGTACCGGGGATCAAACTCACGACTGCCTGCTTGCAAGGCAGGCGCTTATGCCGTTGAGATAAATCCCCAGACCGAAATTTTTAAATGCTAATTGCCTTTCACCATCAGGCCACGATACTGGACTAGGACTGCTGTGTTATATATTTAGAATGTGCCTGCAACAATAAACAGAAATGTGGATTACAAAAATGGTACGAGTGGGCCTTGAATTTAAGTAAACCCAATATATATAATTAGATTTTAGGAGGCTAAAAGGAAGGTGATTATTTAGCGAGATCCTCCAGAGCATTTCAAAGAAAATTTGATTACAAAAATTTAATTTACACACAACTTTTCCACTTCACTAGACCCTGAAAAGACCCAATTAGATTAGAAGAAAAATTGATGTAATGAGCACTAAATTTATCCAAAAGTGGCAATCGCTTGTCGATAAAACTAGTGGCTTTGATTGTGACCCCGGGTGCCATCCAGTTCAGCCTAATTTCCCATGAAATACGATTATTTTTAACCTCAAGAAGAGTTGGTACGTTTCAAAGAATGGAATGCGGGGGTGGGGATAGGGGCACGAAGGAGTATATTCCTGCTCTTTGAGATCTTTCTAGTCTCCAAATAATCCTGGAATTTTTTCCCTAGCTTGTGCCTGGAGCCACCCAAAGCCAGGAGAACTTGGAAGAGAAGATGTGAGAGACTGTTCGACCAATCCTCCGGTGAGGCCTGGTTCACCACGCGTGGGTCCGCCCTCACATGTGGCCTGGCCCCTTAGTCCTCTCCATCCCGCATTGGCTCAGTTGCTAGTCTCTCCGCCTATAGGGTTTCTCCTGATTTCCGGACTGTGGGGCCTCTGTTTCTTATTAACATGCATCAATCCGGTCTGGCAGCTGTGTAACTCCTAACAAACCAGGATCCCGGTCGTGTCCCCAGCTCTCTACTTCAGTTCTACTCTCCCTTAGGGCCTGGGAAACCCCCTTCCCCGAGGGAGGAGGAGTTGGGGGGGGGGAGGGGCAGCCCCCAGCTGGTATTGGGTGAGGCTCAGCGGAAGCTGGGCAGAGGCTGAGAGGAGAGAAAAAGTCTAGGGGAAAGGCCAAAAGAGAAGCCCAAAAGGGAGGAGGGAGGAAGTCAGTGGGCCAGAAAAGCCAAGGGAAACACAAGAGAGGGAGGCCTCTAGGCTGTAAAGACCAAAAGGTCCAGCAGGATGGAGCCAACGGGATCAGGTGGTCAGCTTCCCAGCTGGAGATCAGAGTGATCCTGAACTAGAGTGGGGTTTAAAGATCTTCTGCAGGCAGGGGAGGCCCCGAAGTAAGAGGAGGTGAGCAGACATGTGAGTACTCTGAGCCCCAGGATAAGCACCGCACATCTAAGCGGAGTCAACATCATCAGACTATTCAGTTAGGCAGATGGGTGGGCAAGCACATTGCTTTTATATTAAAACCTAGAGTAGATCCTTGAGTAGGAAACAAACAAAAACCATGGTTTTCATTTGAGAGATGGCCTTTGAAGAAGTATCAGGCTTGGAGGGAATCTTTCCCAGCCATGTCTCAGACTGATAGGGATGCTCATTCACTGTCCTTTGCCATTTGGGACCAGTCAGTAACAACTGGAAAATCCCCAACGGTAGGGTTGCCAGATAAAATACAAGACACTGAGTTACATTTGAATTTCACATGACACTATTTCAGTCTAGGTTGCCCTAAGTAGTACAGGGGACATACATACATTAAAACATTATTCATTGTTTATTTGAAAGTCAAATATAGCTGAGTGAGTGTTCTGCATTTTTATTTGCTGAACCTGGCAACTCTACCCCAAAGGCACCCAAATTGGGGACTGTCCCCATGGCCTGGGCCGGTTTCAGAGCTCAGACCCTGCAGTTCTCACCCACATCCCCCTTCCCAGACTACAGTGTCATTGCTGTCACAAGGAGTCCTCCAAGCTCTGCGCTTCTATCTCAGCTTCACACAGACATTGTAATCTAGGCTAAACAGAAAGCATCAGCTACCCCCCCATCCCACCCAGGACTCATCACCCCTAACCCTGCCTCAAGCGAGGCTGGCAGCTCCTCTGAAGGCTGCGGTGGTGATGGTGGGGGAGGGGTGGAGGTGTCATATTCTTTAAGCAATGTATGTGTTTGGGTGTCTTCTTGTCATCCGTTAGTACCTTCCAGTTACTGTGGTCAATACCACAGCGCGGCTCTCAGCCATCCGCCAGCAGATGGAGGCCTGGAATCTTTCTGCCTACATCATCCCAGATACGGATGCCCACCAAGTAAGGGATTGCCCCTCTCCCCTTTGCCCTCGCTACTGCCCCGGGGTTGGCCTATAAGCACAGGCACAAACAGGACACTGTTAAGACACAGAAGATGAAGGCAAAGAAAGGATCCAGCAGGAAATGGAGAAGTTGCCCCCAGTAGTTTTAGGAAAACTGAAAAAGCATATTCCTTTACACAGGAGGGAGACATAGCCCAAACTCCTTGACCTTGAGAAATTAAACTATAAAACAACTTCAGAATCAATTCTGATCAGTTCCCAGGCGGAGGATCCAGAAGGAATGTTTAGGCATTCCCGCCCCAGAAGGTCAGAATGGAGACTGGGAATTGGACTGGAAGGACCCTAAACTCCCTCCCAGCCCAGGCCTTCCCAAAGCCTGCTGCATGGAAGCAGCAGATGACCCAGCATGCTGAGCTATGTTAGTGTGAGGGAGAGCAAACAGGAAACAGGATGGTCTGCAAAACAGCTCTTTTACCCAAGCAACAGCCCTGGCCACTCATCCCATTTCCCAGCACCAGCCCACTTGAGAAGGCATTTTCAGTGTCCATCAACTGGCTTGAATTCACTTTCTCATCTGCTGGGGAAGGCTAAGAATCTTGGATAAATATCTGGAGTTCTCTGATCCTCAGTTTTCTCTTTTGCAAGATGCATACAAGGAGCTCTGTCTCTGGGGATTATGAAGAGCAATATGCAGCCATCCAGTGTATAAGGGACTGGCTTCAGGAGCCCTGTAGACACCCAAATGAGTGGATACTCAAATCCCTTATATAAAATGCTGTAACATTTGCACATAATCTATCTCTTCCATACACTTTACATCATCTAAAGATTTTGTATAAACCTAATACAAGGCAAATGGATGTCATGTTGTGTTATTTAAGGAATAATGATAAGGGGAAAAGTCTATACATAATCAATACAAACACAATTTTTAAAAAAATATTTTTTGTGAGGGGTGAAGCTGCAGATGTGGAATCCATGGATACAGAAATCTGATTGGACAATATATAGACATGATTTATGATGTGTACAGAGGGAGAAACAGGGAGGAAGAGGAGTTCTCTGAAGGGCAGAAGGAGATGCCATGATCCTAGACTACCCAGAATTTGCATGCTGGTTAGGGTGACAAAACTCCTTTATAGAATAATCCAGTGAAACCCTGCGTCCAGTGTTGGACAGTGAGGTTGAGACCCTAAGAGTTACAGCTGTTGAAAGGAAAGGAAGAGAGAGGGCTGGGAAAGTTATAGAAGGCTTCCTGGAAGAGGTAGGCACGATGCTTAGCCATTTGGGAATGTTTACAGTAGACCAGAAAGAAAAAAAAAAACTAGGATGTGGTTAGTGGCCTTCTATGTGATGTCTGACTTTATTAAAAATACTAATAATTATGGTGGTGTTAATTTCCTAGAGTGAATACATTGGCAAACATGACGAGAGGCGTGCGTGGATGACAGGCTTCACAGGAAGTGCAGGTGACAGCCTCTACCTCCCCTCGTTGTCTCTGTTGGTACACCAGAGGTGGCTGGAGTGGACTTGGCATAGCTAAGTCCTTAGCAGCCAGGACCCCAGGACCTAGGATCCAGAATCGCCTTCTTTTCTCCCTGCCCCCTACTCCTCTGCCGTCCTGACAACAGGTCCCTATCAGACACATCTCTCAAAGTACACTGGCCACCTTTCTGTAGAGAAAGGAGGCAGATGGCCCTCCTGGCTCCCTTTCCATGATCACTGACCCTCCTACAGCCAGGCCCAGCCTAGTACTCCCTGGGCTCCCTCTCTAAGATGGTTTCTACTTATGGGCCCATTCCTCCCTTCACATGATGGCTCATTTGGGGATAAAGTTTTATTTGCAGGTGTTTTCACAGACAAGGTCACTTTACATAGTAGAAAGAGACACAAACTTGTAATGATGTCCCAGTTTCCAAAGGGATGCCTAACCCATTAAACACAGTGTATGCTGCCTTTGTCGATCCTTTGGCATGCTTTTCTGAGCCTCAAGCTGTCCTGCGTTGCCTGTCATAAACCTTATTTCTTTGCCAGTGTTGCTGGATTTGTCTTCTCTACCAATCCTCAGCTAAGTCTCTGGCTTAGTGTCCCTATCAGCCACCAACTCTTAACACTGACTCTCATCTTTCCTGAGAGCACATACATGCAGCATGAGTTCTTTGTGGCTGGCCAAAACAGATTTTGTCTTCTGCTGCCAAAAGTTCTGATGACCTCCTTGAGAGGCCTTCAGTCAAAGCACAGATGCCTGCCTTGAGATACTCTTTTGGCCAGATTCTCTTTAGCATTTCCTGCTCACTGCCTTCCATAGGAGGAAACAAACTCTTTCTAGCAATACCTTGTGGCATTCTCAGAGTCCACACTGCATCACACACCCACCTCCTAAAGCCATGCTCCTCACCTTCACCCTCCCCTCACCTACAAGCCCCCTGTTATGCCCCCAGGTACTGCAGTAGTGACTATGGGGAAAGCAGCTGTCTGGACTGACAGTCGCTACTGGACGCAGGCGGAGCGAGAGATGGACTGCAACTGGGATCTCAAGAAAGAAGGTAGAAAGCCACATGAGATTGTCCCCAACAAGCACATATGCAAAAGGACTGTCACAGACAGAAGCCTGGCTAGAGGGTCTGAGGCTGGCTATGCAGGTGACCTTGGAATTCCGTCCTGTCTTTCAGTTGGTATCACTGTTATTGTCTCCTGGCTCCTAACTGAGATGTCTACCGGAGGACGTGTGGGCTTCGACCCCTTCCTCGTCTCTTTTGGTATGTTCTTCCTTTAGTTCCTTGGATTTGTCCTCACCAACAAGGGTCACTCAGCTGCTGTAGGAGGTGAAGTAGAGCCTTCCAGGCCATATGACCATAAAGCTAAAGTATTTTGAGGACATGGTTGCAGAATATTTTGGAACAAATGTATAATTATGGATTGTATAATTTAGAAATGTTAAAGGAATGTACCCATTTTTTAAAAAGTCTTAAGTGCAGAAAACCAGAGTGGAAACAAGGGATAATTAATATCTAGCACATGAATAGACCTGGATGTCCTTGAACTGTATCCTGAAACTACTCAGGGTTAGTATTCAGAATGACTTGGAAGTCCTCTCCTAGAAAGTAGCTTAGAAGGGTCAAAAGAGTTGGGAGAGAATATAATTTGCTGAGCTCCAGGCCCCATATGTCCAGCCCACCCATGACCTCAAAGGTAGAATCCTCATGAATATGCAGACAAGATCCTACTTCTGAACTGACTTCTTTGCCAGCCTGTCCAGTGGCCTGAATGTCACCATTCCTTTGAACCATAGCATGGAATCTTGGGGAAAATAGTACCCAAAATAGGAACTACCCCAGCCATTGGCACTTAAAAAGACAAGATTAGCCAATTGTTAGCAGACACCATTGAGGCAGATTCAGCATAGATCAGCTTGAAAAGCAGGAGGAGAGGCACAGCCCTATGGTGGGGCACACACTACAGAAGGTCTAGATTGCTGGGACAGGCTTGGGACAGCTAGAGTGACACAAGTGAAACTGGGGCAACTGGGAACAAAACTAACTTTATCTGAGCCACAAGTTTTCCTGAGGTGTGAATGAGCAAGGGACAAATGACTCCTTCCTGTCTCCACAGACTCCTGGAAAAGTTATGACGCGAACCTCCAGGGCTCCAATATACAGCTGGTGTCCATCACAGCCAACCTTGTAGACCTGGTGTGGGGCTCAGAGAGGCCGCCGGTGCCAAGTGAACCCATTTTTGCCCTGGAAAACGCATTCACAGGTGATTCAGCTTTCCAACTGTACTGGCACAAGTCCCCACTAACATGGGCCCCTGGTGCTGCTCTTTTGAAAAGGCACCCTTGGAAGTCTCAAAGCAATGGTTTGCAAAGCTTAGCAAGAACCCAAGTTGCCCAAGATGCATGGTTAAAGGGCACACTTTTGAACCCTCTCTCCACGGAGAGTCTTAGTCCAAAGGCCCCCAGACCATATTAAACTTCTGGAATAAAGAGTGTCAGGATTTAAAAGGCAGTGGGGAGGGAAGAAACAGCAGAGTCAGAGAAACCTGGTACAGAACCTTCTGAAAAGAGAAAATATGTGCATTGTTTGTCTGATAGTGGAGACTGGTTCATGTTGAATCATTCATCCCTTTCCTTCTGACCCTCCTATGAGGAGATATTTAGATCTGTGAGATGGCTGGGGTGGACAGAAGTATAAGTGCAGGGTCAGTCTGCGGCACAGATGAGGGTTCAGGTTTTTGTTGAACCACAAAGGAAAATTAATAGACCTAGAAAACGGTAACCTTGGTCTCATTAACACCATCTAAATCTTACATCATAAAAGATCAATATGCAGTATGATTCTTGTAAGTGATAACTAAAATTCTGACTAGAGCTAGGTTACTGATTATGAATCAGTATCTTAGCTGCCAACCTTCTCTACTTCTCTGGGAATTCTGAGAGAGCCAATAGGCTTGGATTCCCAGTCACACTGAGCAGTCTAAGAGGCCTCTCTCCACATGTGGGTCCAGCTATGTCTCTGGTTCAGAAAGGAGGCCAAGAAAGCTGGAAGCAAATTTCAAAACTGTAGCTACGATAAAAATAGTGAAAATTGTGTCCAATTCTCTTTATGTGTTCCTACCTAACTTACAAAATCATTCTTCTGCATCTTGACAGTTTTTAAAGAAACTTGCTGTACAAGAGTGATCATAAATAAACTCATAGCATTGAGATAAGGAAGGTCACAAATATGGCAGGAAGCAGCAGGGATAAAAAGAAAAAGTCTAGCAGGGCTTGGGACAGAGTCATATGGGTTTTGTCACTACCCACAAGTGAGGGGATGGCAAGGCATCACAGGCTACAGATCTTCAATGAAAAGCTGTCCAGAGCCAGAACTGAGCCTTGGAGGCCAGAGGATGGAGTTAAGCTTTAAGAAACTTTGACAAGAAAACTTAGGTTGCAGGTTTTACAGAAAGGGTAGAAGAGCAGGAACAAAGGACAGAACACAAAAATTTAACTACTCAAAGGGAGCTGTATGCATCAGACCATTTCAATTTGGTTTCTTTTGTTTTCTCAAAAATGTGTCATGATCATGAATCTTAAAAATGTAATTCTAAGAAGCCAGTCAGAGACAGCCACATATTATACAGTTACATTTATATTAACCATCCAGCACTGCCAAATCCATAAGGACAGAAAATGGATTAGTGGTTTCCTGGGCCTAGAAGAAAGGGGTGATGGGAAGTGACTCCTTAATAGGGACAAGGTTTCCTTTGGGGGCGATGCAAATGTCCTACAGATAGTAGTGATGGTTGCACCGCATTGTGAACCATACCTAAAGCCAACTGAACTGTGCACTTTAAAGTGCTAAATTTTATGTGATGCCTATTTTACAACAATAAAATAAATCTTAAAAGTTTATCATACCCAAAGCTTTAGTTCTTGTTGAATAGTTTTATCTATTTGCATACAGTTTTAATGGCATTAAGTTATAATTTATGCTTGTATCTGAGCCCAAGTACGATTCTTAATGCTTGTGATCTTTTGCCCCCCAAACACTTCCTAGTATTGCCTAAAGGCAGACATTTTTAGCACTGGGAATTGAACCAGGGCCTTCACCCTGAACTACATGCCCAGTCCTTCTGCTTTTTATTTTGAAACATGGTCTCACTAAATTAGCTAAGTGGGACTCAAACTTGTAATGCCCTTGCCTCAGTCTCCCAGCTACTGGGAATAGACAGTAGTTATATGTCTTATAGGGGACAGGGATAGATGATACAAACCGCAACCCTAGATATAAGCACCCTACAGAGGACTTCCCTGGGACAACGAGATGAAAGTCAAGTTTGGAGATTGACAGTGTTATCAAGGCAGCACAGTGTCTGCACAGATTTGTAGTTTGAGCCATGTAGCCTGACGTACCTGGGTTCAAATCCCAGCTCCATCCCTTGCAGCTGTGAAACTCTAAACAAGTCATTTTACCTTTCTAAAAGGCTCAGTTTCCTTATCTCTAAAATGGGGCCAAGCAAGACTTAAAATAATGCATGAAGTGTTTAGTTAGCCTAATACCTGTGGCTTAAGAACTGGAGTTACTGCAGAGAGGAGTTAAACACGGCCCCAGCCCTCTCCCTTTGCTCTTCAACAAGGGCCGCTCTCCTGATCTCTTTCTGCATGCTTATTTAAGACTGAGAAAGCTATACCAGACTTATTATATACCAAAATACCTTTTTACCTGCTTTATAAATCCTCATTCAAACTTCATATTGAGCCTGACGAGGTTACAGACTATTATTATGTCCCACCCTCATTTTATAGCTACACAAAATGAAACACAGTGGGGGTCAGTAATTTGTCCAAGATCAGCCAGCCAGTAATGGCAAAGCTAGGATTCAAGCCCAGTCTGGGTCCACAACTCATGTTATTAATGTGCACGCAGATAAGAGCTTGCTTGAAAAAAGATTTCTACTGCCTTTTTTAAAAACAGAAAGCCATTAACCTTAAGGGATCTAAGTGCCAAAGGTAAGGTGTGTCACTCACAGTTTCTTTGGGTTCCTTTGCTTCTAGGGAGCACTTGGCAAGAGAAAGTATCTAATATCCGAAGCCAGATGCAGGAGCATAAAAAGGCCCCGACTGCTGTCCTTCTGACTGCACTTGATGAGACGGCCTGTGAGTGTGGATTTGTGCACATGGGTGGGTGCCACACCCTCCCCAAGTTCGTGGGCCCCACAGCACAGAGTTCTCCCCACAGACAACCAGTACCCAGCAATTGCTGTGAGTCACAGTAGCCATGGCCTGGGGGAACCAAAGGGGTAAGTGAGGAGCAGCTCATACCTAAAGAATGAGGAACCAGCTCCCCTGACCCCAGCAAGCTGGGGCCAACCCACAGGCCACCAGGGGAATGGGCTGGCCACAGCAGCAGAGAGCATGTGTTTTCTTAAAGAGAAGAAGACCAGCAACGCCTCCCACCAGCCTGGCCAAAACATTCACACCCCTGACTTCAACCCCCCAGGAGAAGCCTACTTGATCCCAACATGGCACAGAGCTTCTCGCCCAGTCCCTCTGACTGGGCTTCAGCCATCCTAGGGACCCAATGAAACTGTGTGGTCACTGTAGGTATCCACATTTTTCTAGAGGGAGGACTATACAGTGCTCCCCAACATCTCAAATACCATCTCCCAAGGACTGAGAGGCACCCAGAGGCAGATGCTACCAATGTGCTGCCGGACATCACCTGGGGCCAATGCAAACAATGGAGCAAAGGGGCCAGAAATGCTTTCTTCCAGACAGATTAGCCTAATATGGTCTCCACTGATTCTCTTCCCAGGGCTCTTCAACCTCCGCAGCAGTGACATCCCCTATAACCCCTTCTTCTATTCCTACACACTGCTCACGAACTCTTCCATCAGGTACCACTTTTCCTTGGCTTCTGTCACAAACTTCCTCCAATTTTCGCCCTCTCCCTGTCCCACCAGTGATCCCACCCTGATTATAGTCTTTAGACTGCCCATGAGCTTGGCATCTGCCTTAGCAAGATCCTTTAGGAAACAGGCATTTCCTAACCCCTTGACCTTTGCTCGCAAGGAATCTCAAATTCAGGCTGCTTGGCTCCCTATGCTGCCTTCCTCTGACCTTTAGGAACAATGAAACTGTGTGTGCCTCTGGTTTTTGTGTGGGCTTAGTAGATACTCAGGACCCACTCGATCTTCCCTCCCCTCCAGGCTATTTGTAAACCAGAGTCGTTTTAGTCCTGAGACCTTGCAGTACCTGAACTCTGGCTGCACAGGGCCCATGTGTGTGCAACTCGAGGACTACAGCCGAGTCCGTGACAGTGTCCAGGCCTATGTCTCCGGAGACGTTCGGGTCTGGATTGGGACCCAGTACACCATGTATGGGCTGTATGAAGTGATACCCCAGGTGGGTTGGCAGGGCCCTAGCCCATGCCAGGTATTGACCTCTGCTCAGCCATTCAGTCTGCTGGTCAGTGGACAAATGTGCAGTGTGTTTCCTTCTAGGGGTCTCTGAGAAGAGGCAGAAGTAGGTATGTTTGTCCACAGAGAGCTCATAGAGTTAGTTGTTGACAAGCCTAGAGAGAATACAGTCTGGTCAGCAGAACCTGACACTGAATCTCGGCTCTGCTCCTAACTGGCTGTACAGTGACCTTGAGCAAGTAGCTTAGTCAACTAAGTCTCTGTTTCATTGCCTTAAAAATGACAAGAGTCCCACCTCATAGGAGTTGCTCTGGGATTTAGAGATGGGACACATCAAGCCCAGTGGCTGGCACAAGGTAGGCACTCTCTATAATATGGACAGGAAATTCACCTTGTCTGAGCAGCCCAGCCTCTGACACAGGCCAGGCTCTGAGCTACTGCAGAGTGCTCATGGCAGTAAGCTGCCTAGCCGGGGAATGTTAATCAAAGAAGCCTGCCAGAAGGAGAGAGGAAAGGAAAGGAGGTGGAAGGGAAAGTTCAGCTGGGCCCTGAACACCAGGAAAGACATAACCAGAGAGGATCAGAGTGGAGAGGGCGGTGCCACAATATGGAGCAGCAAGTCTCAGCTACGACTTCCTGACAGTCCTGGACAACACTGCTGTGCCCTGGAGGGTGCTTCCAGCCCTGCTCTTCCTCTTGTTCCCAACAGGAGAAACTTGTAGCAGACTCCTACTCCCCGGTGATGATAACCAAGGCGGTGAAGAACAGCAAGGAGCAAGATCTCCTCAGGGCCAGCCATGTAAGTCCATGTGCAGGCAGATGTGGCCTCTTGGGAGCTCCCGGTCTGATGAGTTAGAGGAGAAAACTTTCCAGAGCTTTCCAGAACTAAAGAGAGCCTCGCTGAAACAAAGGAACAGACACCAAACTCCTGGGCAGCCCCTAGTGCCTCAGCCACTCATGCCCAGGATAGTATAGTGGTTAAAAATGTAGGCCTGGAAGGTAAAGGCTCTAAGTTCAAACCCCAGTAACACCTTTCTAGTTGGGTGACCTTGGGCAATCACTTTTATAGGCCTCAGTTACTTCATTAGTAGGGTAAGGGGGATCAAAATAGTAATATTACAGCATGCAGTTATTATCAAGTCAGTGAAACAATATACATAAACATATACACACAAGAAAAAATCAAAATACACCATGAAAGTTTACATTTCAAAAGTGTATTACAAGGGCTAGGGATATAGCTCGAGAGCATAAGCACCTGCCTGGCAAGGGCAGGGTCCTGAGTTCGATTCCCAGTATCAAAAAAAATGTATTACAGTAAAAGACACATTATCGTAAGTTTCCCTCACTTTGAACACACTTATTCCATTGTCTTGGCACTTTCTGAAGCAGTTCTGGAAGTCTTCTTTTGTGACTATTTACGAGGTTTGATCAAAATATGGGTGCTGCTGCCAATTGCTATGCAACACAAAGGCAGGCTCATAAAACCATTACTGTGTGTCCTCATCTACCTAATTCACTAGGTCTCACACTGTATGACCTCTGGGTCTTCCCCAAAGTCAAAATGACCATGAAAGTTAAGAGCTTGAAATCAACTCAAGACATCAAGACAACATAGCAGCGCAACTCAAAACATTCGTTCTTTTGTGATGTCTAACAAGTAAAAAAAAAAAATAAAAAACATGTGAAAGAGGACTTCCAAAGCTGCTTCAGAAAGTAGCAACAATGATGGGCAAATGTGTTCAAAGTAAGAAGCGGCATATTGAGGGGATTAATGGCAATATGTCCTTTACTGTAATGATTTTTTTTTAATTTAAACTTTCGTTTTTCAAGCCAGGTGTGGTAACACGCACCTGTAATCCCAGCCCTTGGGAGGCTAGGGCAAGAGGATTGCTACAAGTTTGAGGCCAGCCTGGGCTAGGAAGCGTGTTCAAAGCCAGCCTGAACTCCATAGTTAAACCTTGTCTCAAAAGGACAAAAAAAATTAAAATAAACTTTCATTTTTTCAAACATCACACACACACACACACACAATGCTTTGAGCACTACCTGACACATTCTAAGTGTTACCTGTAATGATTTCCTCACTCTGGAAAGAGAATTGCTCACCTCTTTAAAAAAAAATATCCTTGTTAAACTCAGAATAAAATAGGGTTGCACAAGGTGGCACACAACTAATAATTTCAGCCCTCAAAAGGCTGAGGAAGGAGTATTGCCATGAGTTTGAGACCAGCCTGGGCTACATAGTTACTTCAAGGCCAGCTTCAACTATTTAATGAAGTCCTGTCTAAAGCAAACAAACAAGCAAATACAAATAAGTAAATAAATAGGATAAAGCATTTCACAAGTAAAAAAAAACCTTTTCCCAAGGAAAACTTTCACCATATACTGTGGTAGGGAAACCAGCATAATGACCCACTCCGTGTCTCAATCGCTCAAATTCAACAGTCATCAACTCACGGCCAGTCATGTTTCCTCTATAACCCCGCTAAAAACCCTACACATGACCTCCAGTGCAGCTGGCTTATTTTAGAATAAAATCCAAGTATCATATCATTTCTGCTGTCAACACTTTAGGAAATATCTCTAAAGAGAATACTTTTAAAAACACGCACATACTATGATCAGATATAAACATTGAGAATCCTTTGATATCAGATCAGCCAGTCAGATCCTCCTGTTTTTAAAGCTCCAAATCCCAGAGCAGCCATCAGAGATCTGCGGCTGACACTCTGACCACACCTTAGCGCACTTGTCCTGACCCCCCACTCCCACCCCCACCCCCCGCAGGTGCGGGACGCTGTGGCTGTGATCCGGTACTTGGTCTGGCTGGAGAAGAATGTCCCAAAAGGCACAGTGGATGAGTTCTCAGGGGCAGAGTTCTTGGACCAGTTACGAGGGTGAAGGATTGACTCTCTTTCTGGCTGGGGGGCAGGGCAAGGGAGGGTTCATTATTCTCCCAGGTAGGGAAAAGGAGATCCTCCTTGCATTTGGAAGTCAGAGCAACATGTTCTGGGGTGATCTTGGAGTTGGCAAGGAGGTGTTGGGTAATAATTCCCAGCCCAGTTTAAAACTGAAAGCGGGACAACCCAACAGCACCCCCTAGTGTCTGCTTCAAACCCAGGTTTGCCATGCTTGGGGAAGCCGGCTCGGGCCAGGATATGCCTGGCCCCTTGAGAATTTCCAGTAGGGAGTAGGGCTTCCAAGGCACCCTCACACTGTAGGTTTGAGTGCATGACACTGATCTGGGATTAGGGTAGATTTCAGACACAGTGAGCTAGCTTTCTTCGACTGTCATTTGTAAAATGGAGATGGAGGCATAAAGTTTGTCCTTCTCTGATATTTAGTTCTCTGTAAGTGGCAGGACAGGGCTTGGGGAGATGGAACCAGAAGGTGGGCTGGGTGCCAATTGGACATGGACTGCAGTAGAGGCAGCTGTGGTCTAGTGAGACATTGGGACACAGCCTAGTCCCTGGGCACATTCACCAACCTTCCCTTGCCTCGCACTTTCCAGAGAAGAAGACTTCTTTACTGGACCCAGTTTTGAGACCATCTCTGCTAGTGGCCTGAATGCTGCCCTCGCCCACTACAGGTAATTCAGAAGAATAAATTTTCCGGGGCTCTGTGCGGAGTCTTGTAATGAGTGCAAAGGGATGGAGTAGGGGAGGAAATGCTCTGGGCCCTGAGTCCACATTTAAGGTTTGAGGCCCTGGACACTGTGAGTGGTGGGGCTGGGGGGAGCTTGATTTCAAGGAGCCTCCTTGAAATGAAAAAGTCCGAGCAGTTTTTCCCCAAGACACTGCGACTTTGTAAACACTTGGGTCCAAGGGGTACAGAGGGGAGACATGGAAGATACTCAGTGCTTTTCTTTGGCTTCCTGTGAGTTATTTATGTAAGGTATTTCTTAAAGTTCGTGAGCAGTCGTGGAGAAAGGGATGTTTGCTCAACCTGAACCAGTCATGATAGCCGAGGATGTAGACTAGCCAGGTATTAGTAAACAAACTACGGCATCCTGCCTGATGAAATGGGAAGGGTCGCACTGTCCAGATGTCTCAGCCTAGCACGGGCAAAGCATGAAGAAGGTGGATGCCCCTCCAACGGTTGGCCTGGCACAGCCCGGAACTCCCTCCCCTGGTGTCTCCTGGTATCTCTCAAGCATTCAGCTGCCTTGCTCCAGCCCCTTTTCCCCAGCAAAGCTAGACAGTAGCAGGGTAGCTAATCCTCAGCGCTCCCCACTCTGCCTCTCCAGCCCCACGCTCAAGGTCCCCTCCCTTCCTGTGACCTGGCTTCATGAGGCCTTCTGATGTTGAGGCAGCGGAAGTTAGAGAAAGAGCACAGGATGAAGGATCTGGGTCCAGGCTAAGCTCCTTCCTGCCTCCTTCCGTGGCCTTGTACAAGCTCTTTTGCCTCTGTAGGCCTGCTTCTCCTTGTGTACTAGGAAATGCTAGGCTGGGTGGTCTCCATGACTCTCCTAGCTCCCATGTTCTGGGCTGTTTCCTTCCTCCCTCCGTTGGGGACCAAGGCCTTGCTTGGCCAAGGGTAGGATAATGTGCAGTGTGTTGGGTGTAGCAGCAGCAGCAGCAGCAGCAGCAACTCTTTGGGAAATAATGACTTCTCCAGAGTAATGAGCCTGCAAGTCCAGCGCCCAGCATCAGACTTTCCTGTGCTGTCACTCAGGGACCCTACTCCCACCGCGTCCAGCCCAGTGCTCAGTCAGGCTGCTCACCTCTCAGTGTTCTCTCTCCTTCTCAGCCCGACCAAGGAGCTGAACCGCAAACTGTCCTCAGATGAGATGTACCTGGTGGATTCTGGGGGACAATACTGGTAATGTACTCCCCACCCCATGCACCTGGCTGTCAGTTCACACATCCAGAGGTGGCCAAAGCTTCCCTTTCCGGGCCCACCTGAACCTTGAGAAACCTGCACTGAGTAAGCCTTAAGCATCCTTCTCATTTTCAACTTGGGAAGTCAGTGCACAGTGTAAAGTACACAGAAGCCCAGATGGTGGGGGTAACCATGCAGCACCTCTGTGAGAAGAAGGAAAAGACTTAAGTAAAATATTTTTTAATCCACACATTATTGCACAGCCTTGCCTGGATGCAGACACACAGCCCCATATTCTCATACAGCTCACACACAGCCGGCACCATGCATACCCCTGAGCCCTTATCTCCCCCCCCCCGTGGTTCAGCTCAGGTGACCATGTTAGGGGGGAGTCAGGAAAATAAGAAAAGCAACCCTTTAGATGTATTTCCTTCGTACAGTGCACAACCTGAACACCCAGAGAAGACAGCCTTGCAGATTAGGCTAACACTAATCCTTCCAAGAGTGAGACTATAATCTTTCACACCCAGAGCTGATCTAGCCAACTTGACCCCAAAGATGTTCCATTCTCATCTAGGAAGCAAGTAGACTGTGGGAAGCTCAGAGTGAAGCAAGGGATGCAGTGTGCTGAATTGAGGAAGGAGCAAAGAGCAGTTTCAGATCGCTTCCAGCTGCTTTCCTGTGGATGGAGCGAAGATGCCATCACGGAAGCTCTTTGCATGTTCTTAGTGCAGCTGTCGGGAGCCAGTGTGGCAGGTGCCAGCTCGGCAGCCTTTGCTAGTCACCAGTTCGATTCTGTGTGTATTTGAGATGGCTGATGTGCAAAGGGGAAGTGAAGTTGTTGAGGCGTTGTTGGCTTGGGGCATGCTCAGAGTAGGGTGAGGCTCGGGAAATGATCACCTCACTTCCTCTTCTGTTCTACTGAAGAAGTTCACCACGCCCCACGACCTACTCCTAAAGAGGAGTCCCCAGGAACTTAAGACTATTTCTCCCGCCACCTTATCCCAGGAGGGGATCACAAGTGCCGTCCCATTGCACTTTGAGGTTAGGGGTCAGACCTGATGGTTTCTGGCTTCACCTCCAGGGCCTCTGAGCAAATTCCTTGGTCAGATCCATGTTCACAAGAAATGTGAAGAGTCAGTGCTTACCCCAAATGGCTTCACCAAGGTCCAAGGTCTCCCAGGCTTAAGGCTTCAGTTGCCTCATCTGCGAAATGAGGATGATGAGCCCTGTTCTGCCATCCTGCCCAGGGAGCTGCAGAAGCATTCTCTAAATGGTAAATAATTGTGTGAACAAGGGAATGTTGTGACAATGTAATGCCTTGGAAACTCAGTCTCCTCTCTGTAAAAAAGGAAGTAATCCCTGCCTCCTAGAAAGCCTGGAAGGAACTTTGCCTTTAGAGCCATCCTGACTCACAGACACCAGAGCTACAAAATAGCCAAAGGGGTACTTTGAGGGAAACATGTGTATGAGGAATTGTGATTGTCAGAGAGCATAGTGACTTTCAGCTTTGGGGTTCTGCAGAGCCCTTTCAGGCATGGATGCTGAAGATGTGATGTTAAGGAGGATAACTACTTTCCTTTCGCCTCCTACTGGCCTGATCCCAGCCCTGTTGCTGGGGCCTTAGTTGAAAACATCCAGGAAGCCATGGTCCCAGCCTTCTACCAGCTTCCAGGCATTCAGCGGGGCCAGACATGTCAGTTTCCCCTCTCCCCAGGGATGGAACCACAGACATCACCAGAACAGTCCACTGGGGTACCCCCTCTGCCTTCCAAAAGGTAAGCATCATGCCCAGTATTTCCCTGTCCACCTTCCCAAGAAAGCCCCTAAGTAGCCACCCCCCCCCCAAGAGCCCTTTCAATTGACAGAGTAAAACAGAGGCCCAGAGAGGTTCAGTCATTTGCCCAACAAGTTAGTTTTAGGAAATTCAATGTGCTGTGCTGATCCTCTGCTGAGATTTCAGAGCAACAAAGAGGCCCCAACCCAAGCTTCTCCTCTCCCCATTTTGGTGCATCATTGCCCACATATTTCTTCCATACTGTGTGTCTGACCTAGTGCTTGGCAGAAAGGAAGAAGGGCATCTCAAATGGAGGAACGTGGCACAAGCAAAGTGTCAGTGTGGAAAGGACCTGGGGGTATTTGGGAAGCCTCTAGAGCTGGTCAGCTAGAGCAGAGGCTGGGGTGTTGTCTCTTTGCCTAAGGGGCCTCTGAGGGTGGAGCCGGGAGCTGCATTCCTGTATTGAGCAAACACACTGTGAGTCTGACATTCTGGAAATGGAGAGGGGAAGTGCTGTCTGGACCTACTGCCTTCTGGCTGCTGGGCAGCCGGTGACAAGCTGGTGTGGATATGTGGTGAAGACTGACGGCATCGGCACTGGTGGTGACCAAAAGAGGCCACCTTCAGCCCTAACAGAGAGAGATTGGCCGGCCAACCGACCAGGCCCAACCTAAGTTTCAGGCTTTAGGCAAAGCTACAGGATAGGCTGGGAGTGTGTGTATGTCTCAGGGGTAGCACTTGTGTAGCATGTATGGGGTTCTGGTTTCCATTGCCAACACTGAGAGAGAGAGAGAGAGAGAGAGAGAGAGAGAGAGAGAGAGAGAGAGAGAAATCATCAGAAGCACAGTATCAGAGTACTAATATTTACTTTAGCATTTACTTACTACATTATATTCATTATTGATGTACTCCCCCTCTTAACCATCTTAGGATCTAGGTACAGTTATCATCCCATTACAGATAAGGAACTGAGGCAAAAAAGGGCTGCAAGTTATTGGCTCCAAGTCTTAGAGTTCAAAAAAGGGGAGTGGCCAACACAAGATTCCAGCCCAGGAAGTGTGCTTGAAACCACCTACAGGCACCGCCTTCTCCAAGCATGCCCTAAGTACATTAGAATAACCCCTGTGTATCAGCCAAAGAAAACCACATAAACCAACACCCAGCTTTAGGAATATAAACCTCAGCCTTCTGTGGCCATCATCCAAAACCTGGGTGACTGCGCATGAGAATATGTCTCCCTAAACCCTGCGTACACACCCAGGGCTGAGTGGCCACACCCACATGCTCTCAGGCCATGCAGCCAGGAGCTCCCTGACTCCTCCACATCACTTCTTCCTCTCCATCAGGAGGCGTATACCCGTGTGTTGATGGGAAACATTGATATGTCCAGGCTCATCTTTCCAGCTGCTACATCAGGTGGGTATCAGAGACCAGGCTAGACCTAGAACCCAGGCCCTGATGTCATGAAACTCAGACCATCACTCAGGAGGCTGATAAAGCAGGGATTATATCATCATCCCACCTTCCTATGAGATGAGAAAATCTAGTCCAGAGAAAGAAAAGGATTGTGTATGGTCACACAGAGAGTTACTGGGAGAATGGGATCTTGAACTCAGATCTCCTGCCTCCTAATACATTGTTGTTGTTCAGGGATGGAGGAGATCAGTTTGGGTTGCAACAGTCATGGGAAGAATCCTGGAGGAAGTAGGTCTCATAATGTTAAGCCTTGATCCAGAGAGAAATTGTAGTAGGGTCATTAGTCCAAGTAATGGGTACAGTGTACAATGTGTTGCAGATAATGAAGGTCTGGCTTGGCTTCATCCATGAACTGCTCTCCATCCCAACCCAATGTCACTGTGCTATCACTTACTTACCTGCCTCTCAGGAGCCTCTCTCCTCTGATACCACCTTGGTGGTTGAATAGAAAGGAGCAAAGTGAGCAATCTGGAATCCAGCCAAATGACCAGGGGTGATCTCTTTTCCCTTCCAGGGCGTGTGGTGGAAGCATTTGCCCGCAAAGCCTTGTGGGATGTTGGGCTCAATTACGGCCATGGAACAGGCCATGGCATTGGCAACTTCCTGTGTGTGCATGAATGTAAGTATCATAGCCCCTGCCCTAGAGTCCTGTGTAACGCTTCCCCCGCTGAAAAAGAGTACTTCACAGGGATGGAAATTACTGAGATGCCATGACTCACCCAAGGTCACTCAGCTGGTGGGAGGGGATACAGTGTAAGTGAAGAATGCCTGTTGCCTGTTGGCATACACAAGGGCACCAGAGAAAGGATAAATGCCTAGTGGCTGATGGTATAGACCCCAGAGAAATAAAACCCCAGCGCCAGCTCCAGGTAGACAATGATGCAGTGGACAAGTAGTGCTAGAGATTCTCGGAGGCCCTCAGTTAATTGGTCTTCCCCAGAACTTCCTTGTTTCCAAGCTGGTAAGGTCAGGAGAGTTGACACTGCACCCATATCTTCCTTTTCAGGGCCTGTAGGATTCCAGTACAACAACATTGGCATGGCCAAGGGCATGTTCACTTCCATCGGTATGGCTCTTGAGTTCTTCCAGCACCCTACCACATCCCAGAGCCAGGCTAGCTGGGGACTGCTGTCATAGGTGTGCCTACTTTCAGAGAATATTCCAGGCACAAGGACAGAGCCAGCCCTGGGCTCTTTCACTTCACCTCCTCACTTCCTGGCCCCCATCCCTACCCTTAGCCCTAACAGGCTTGTCCCTTACTCCAATCTCCCTCTGTCCATATCCTTTTATCCTTGGGAGTTGATTTCAAGATGTATATCCAGACTCTTGAGTTGCCAGTCAAATGCTAGGGTAACAGGACAGTTGCAACAGGAAAATGGTAGTGCCTCCACAAGTCCAGTGGGCTCTTCAGTCTCCCCTGCTATGATATAAGGGAAGAAGAGCCATGCCTGGGGGTCATCAGAGGCTAGACAATTACCTCTGTTTACCCAGTGAGCATCTAACAAGTTATGGGGCTGCCAGAGCCAACAGCCAGAAAGCAGCTAGATAGCCTGGTCCTTCAGCCACTTGTTGATTGGTATAGAACCCCTGCATATGGGTACCTTCTGGTTAAAGCTGTTAGTATCTCTGTGTCTCCCAGAACCTGGATACTACCAGGATGGAGAATTTGGAATCCGTATTGAAGATGTGTTCCTTGTAGTGGAAGCAAAGACCAAGGTAAAGTGTAAGCGAGTTGGGCTGGAAGTTTGGACAGCATTTGCCCAGCAGGCACTTTGGATTTGCATAGGGGATGAGGGAGACCACAGGAAATGGACGTTTTAAAATGCATGTGAGCATGACTTTATTTAGTGCCATAGGAATTCTATAAACCAGCCTCTCAAACTGCAGGTTAGGATCATCTGGAAAGCTTTTTTTTTAAATGTCAATGCCAGGCCTCACTCCAAAGCAAGTACATCTATATCCCTGCCTTAAATCATTGGTTCTCAGTGCACATAATAATCACCAGGGGAGCCTGTTAGAAATAAAGATTTGCTATTATAGCAACCCACAAGATGAAATACCTAGATATAAACTTTAAAAGACTTACATGGAGGAACTCTCTGCTAAGGGACATAAAAAAGATTTAAGTAAGTGGTATTCTCTGGAAAGGAGCCTTGATATTATGAAGATGTCATTTCTTCCTAAATTAATCTATAAATTCAAGACAATCTCAATTTCAGTTTTAACCAGATACTTTGGAACTTCACAAGTGATAATAAAGTTTATTTGTAAAAATAAACATGCAAAGATAGCTAGATAGCTAAGCAACTTCTTAAAAAGAAAGGCAATGTGGGAATATTAGATTTTAACACAAGCTACCATAACTAAGACAGGATGACACCAGAGACAAAACAGAACAATGGAACAGAATAGTTAGTCCAGAAATAAACCCTCTAATTCCCATAAATGATATGGGGATTTAGCTTCCAATAAAGCTGATGTATCAAAACAGGTAGAGTAATTATTCAGTAAGTAGGCTAGGAGAAGCAATGGCTAATCATTTGGGAAGTAAGTAAATCAAATAATAAAATCATTACATCAAAATAAAATCTCATATTGACCAAAGTTTTAAGGTGAACAGTGAAACCATAAAACATCTAGAAAAAAAAACGTATAACAGTTTCTTTAATATCAGGGTGAAAAGGGACTCTTTTATAAAAAACCCAGAAACTATGAAGGAAAAGATTGGTAACTGACTTAATTTAGTAGAGTGTCTATATGGAAACGATACCGTAAACAAAATCAAAACATCTCTAATAAATACAGCCAATATGACAAAAGAGGGTGAAGTTAATTTTAACATGTGGTTTTAAGTAGGCAAAACAAGATACATGTCTATAAACCCAGCACTTGGGAGGCTAGGGCAGGAGGACCACAAGTTTGAAGCCAGACTGGGCTCCATAGTGAGTTCAAGGATGGTCTGAACTACATGGTAAGACCTTGTCTCAAATAACTAAATGTAATTTTTAATTTAAAAAATAGGCAAATAAATAAGCAAATAAATAAAGTACATTTTTAATTTTAAAAAATAGGCAAGACAAAAAAATGAATGAAGTCTACAAAGAGGCAATTCACTAAAATCAACACAAATGGTGCACACACATGAAAAAAACATTCGGCCTCATCTTTCAAGGAATATAAATCAAGATACCAACAGAATACTGTATTTCACTATCAGATTGGCAAAAATTAAAGGCTTTGGTGATATCAGGTACTGGTAAGTATGTAGTGAGATGGCCATTTCTCATACATTGTCAGGAAAAGTATAAATTGGCACAAACTTTCTGGGAGAAGTTTTTAAAAATCTATCAAAATGTCTATTGAAATGCCTGTGCCTTTTGTCTCAGTAACCAGTCCCTGCATGAGGTATGTATGTTCTGGATAGTCTGAAAAGTTCACCAAGATGCTTACACAGTGCTATTGATTTGTAACACTGATGATAATAGTAAAAAAATGAAAACAACATAAAAATAAAAATCTATGACTGGTTACATAAATCATGTGTATCTCCACTTTGTGGACTCTTACGCAGTTTTGAAAAGAATGAAGTAGGGCTAGGGGTGTAGAGCATTTGCCTGGCATGCACAAAATTCAAGGTTTGATCCCCAGCACCAAAATGATGATGATGGTGGTGATGATGATGGTGATGGTGATGATGGTGGTGATGATGATGATCTTTTTGTGTTAACTAATAGGGAGCACAATCCCGGATTTACTATTAAGTAAGGGAAGGAGAAAGGTACAGAGAAATGATTATGGTAATATCCATTTTGTGTGAATTTAAAAAATATATATCCACATGCAGATATATACCCTACATATGCCTAAACTGCTTTCAGGAAGGAAACTGGGCAGCAAGGACTTTCCATTTTCATTGCTTATCTTTGTGTAGTTTGAATTTCCTAAGCACATACATACAAGACTCTATGGGAGATGAAAATTATGGGATTTTCCCCCTTCATTTTACTTGTCTCTATTAGAGAGAGGAGTCAGGAAATAGATACATAGCTCCAGCTAGTTGGGAAGCTGAGACAAGAAGATGACAAATTCAAGCCCAGCCCGGGCAACTTAGTGACTTAGCAAGATTTCTAATTCAAAACAAAAGGTGGGCTGGGGATGTAGCTGAGTGCTAAGGACCGGGGCTTAGTTCCCAGTATCATAAATAAAATCAGCAGGGCATGGGAGCACACACTTGTAATCCCAGCACTCAGGAGGTTGAGGCAAGAGGATCACTGCAAATTCAAAGCCAGCCTGGGCTATCTAGTGAGTTCAAGGCCAGCCTCAACTACAAGCAAGACCTTTGTCTCAAAAACAAAAATCAATAAATAATCAATTAAGTATTTAGAAGGTGCTTGGGATGTGCTCAGTACTTAGTGTGAAAGCCCTGGGTTCAGTCCCCAGTACTGCAAAAGATAAATGAATAAAAAAACCTAAGAACTTCCTTTTATGCTATTTAAATGTGGATTTCCAACTCTACCCTAGAGACTGTACTTCCAGTAGGTCTGGGAGGTCAGCTGGACTCCAATAATTTTTTTTTTTATATCAGGGATCAAACTCACCACCACATACTTGCAAGGCAGGCACTTATGTCGCTGAGCTAAATCCCCAGACTCTACATACTTAATGAGCTTCCAAGTGCTATTGGTGTGCACACTCTGAGAAGCACAGACCTAAGTCAGAATGGCAGGCACAAGAAGGGAGCTCCAAGCTAGATGTCAAGTGGTAGACAAGGGGATTGACCGAGGGAAGGGACCCTGGAAGGCTCAGGCCTGGGTAGCATGTCTGGGGTAGACAAGTTCCTTGTAGCTGTGGCTTCTTGGCAAAGTGCTCCCTTCCTCCCTTTCACTGAGCTCCTCTTCCTCCCCCCTCTCACTTTCCCTGTGGGATCTCAGTACCCAGGGAGTTACCTGACCTTCGAAGTCGTGTCTTTCGTGCCCTATGACCGGAACCTTATTGATGTCAGCCTACTGTCCCCTGAGCAGGTAAGTGCCACTCAGCATTGCCTACACTTGAGCTTGTGATGACAGCCTTCTCCCCGACCTAGGCCTATCCTGCCTCTACTGTCCCTATGCCAAAGCCCTCTGCCCTTGCCACACCCAGGAGGGTCTACACTGGCAGCACTGTAGATACACACCAGGTTGTACCTCCCCAGACTGTCAGAGTTCCAAAAACTTTTAGAAATGTCCAGACAGCCCAATCCCCGAACGTGAAACAATGAATCCTTGGGAAGTGTGAGACTAGGCCGTTGAGCATTGTCGCTATAAGGCCTAGAACTAAGCAGTCCCTTCCTTTTCCTCTCAGCCTCAGTCTCCCCTTTTGTAAAATGGGGCTGCCAGCCCTGTTTACTCTGATTCAAGAGCCTGAAATCCACCCACCCTACTTTTTCTGACCATCACCACAACATTAATCAGCCACTACAGTGAACTGCTTCCGGAAAGCCCAGAGAATACCTGAGGCCTGACACTCACTGGGTCCCTGAGACTGAGGTGGGCAGCTGGAACACTTTACAGGAGAGACTGACACAAAGCCCTCATCCCCTAAGACTCAGTTCAAACCTTCTTCCCTTTGCAGCTCCAGTACCTAAATCAATACTACCAGGTCATCCGAGAGAAGGTGGGCCCAGAGCTGCTGCGACGCCAGTTGTTGGAGGAGTTCAGCTGGCTCCAGAAGCACACAGAGCCCTTGTCTGCTGGAGCTCCACACACAGCCTCCTTGGCCTCTGTTCTGGTAGCTTCTACTCTTGCTACTCTCAGCTAGAGTAGCTAGAGGCTTCCGATTTCCTACTGACCCTCCACCTGGATGTAAGACTCACTCAGCTCCCCTCTGCCTGAACCATGCATGCCCTAAGAGTCCTTGGCGGCCTATCACTGGAAACCATTACCCTCAGCTTCCTCCAAACAGGCCCCAAGCAGCACATCCCCTCCCCCAGGATCTGTATGCCTCACCCTGGACTGCCAACCCCAGGCCAGGAATAGCAGAGCCAAAAGCAGTCCCTTCCTCTTGTGAGCACAGCTTGCCATACAGCTGCTGTCCCTTTGCACAAATAAAAGACCAAAAGGGCAGTGCCCTCCTCCCAGGAGCTCCATGACCCAAGGAGAGCCCTTCCCTGTCACCACCTGCTTGGAGAGCTCCAGAGTGCTTCCCACTCACTGGCTCAGGACTCTTGAGTCTTCCAGCCCTTTAGGCCATCTCTGACCACCCCTGCTGGCTCCCAGTCCTAAAGTGGCCTCCTGTCTCCAATCCCTGAGGCTAAAGCCCCTTCCAAGTTGCCCACTCTACCTGTAGAGGGAGGGGAAGCAAGGATGGCTGGACTGGAGAGAACAGACCAGTCACAGGCAGAGTGGCCCTGCAGCTGGACACCAACCAGGAACACATACCCACATATGAGCCCACACTCCCAAACCCTGAGTCCACTCCATGACAAGTGACAGCATGGAGCATTTAGGTGCAGGAACTTGGCTATGGGGTAGCTGGGAAAGTGGCTCTATCAGAGATTGAAGAACAGCCTATGCAAGTGCACAGGGTGCCAAACTTCTCCATCATTCTAGGAGCCCCTTTAACTTTTGAAATTACAGCTACAGACAATACTGTTAAATCCTCCCGTGTGCCTGGATGGCCCCAAACCCCATGTGAGTAGTCTGGTTTCTCCATTATATAGACAGGAAAACTGAGCTTCAGATAGGAGGAGAGCCCTGCCCCAGGCCACACAGCTCCTGGTTGAGAGGTGGTAGGGCCAAATGGGCTGGCAGTCTAACTCCTTAGCCTCCAGCAGCAAGTAGAATCACTTAATCTGTCCCCCATGCCCTCCTCATTCTCTGAGCCCACCGTTGGAGTAAGAAGAGATTTCTTCAGCCTTAGTCAGGCTGGCAGGCAGGCCGTTAGCCACCTGGGCTCACATCCTGCTAGATACTTAAAACAGCCTTGCAAAGTCGCCTGCCTCTGGTTTTACATTGTGTCTGTGTTGCTGGAGGCTGTTGTTACCTGTGGCTTTTGTGGTGGGGGAGGAAGAGAGGCTATAGTGGGGGAAGGGATGTGAGACTCCTGTGGGCTCAGTGGGGGGAGCACATGGGCTTGAGAATGTCTGCGTGAGCATGCGCGTGGATGCGTGTACATGCACCTGGGCACAAGTGCATGCACTTGCGCCTCCAGCCTGTACACAAAATGGTGTGTAACCTTGTGGAGGGGACAGAGGAGCCACATGCTGGGGAACTTGTCAAACGCGCTCCATGGTCCAGAAAAGTTGGAGCCAGCACTTTTGCCTCAACAGAATACAGTAGGGATAGGGAGAGCAAGGCTCTGGGGGCAGGGTACCGGGCAAAGACATCAGGCTGGGAACCACCCTGGGGCCACAAGGCTCAGTTTGCTGAGTGTGAAGATGACCTGTGACAATTAACAACACCAAAGCTTGCATCCGTAGGGTCTAGCCCTGACCCACCCTCCCTGAGGGCCTGTAGCACCCTGAAGCAGGCCTTTGGTTTGCTATGTCATCTGCTCTCTTACCTCTTACCACACAGACAGCTACTACCAATAAAATTAAGGATGTTGTGGTCGTCATCACTATCATTGTTACTACCGGTACCCTTTGGTGTATACCACTATGCAGAAAGCTTTACACACATTTTCCCATTTTATCCTCAAAATCCATGAGAAAATACTTGTATTCTTCCTGCTTTACAAGTGAGGTAACTGAGACCTCAAGAGATTAACCACCTTGCTCAAGGTGACTGTTTTAATCAAAAATAAGATACATACCAGTCATATGGATCCAAAACCCAGTCTCTCCAAAAAAGGGCATAGAAAAATGGGCTCTCCCCATTTTACAGATGATAAAACTGAGGTCTGACTAAGACCACACAGCTGGGGAGTAGCAGCATCCACACCGTACTGGTTCCTCAAGGCCCACCTGGACAGACCATCTCTATCACTTGCTCCTGGGATTCTGGCCTGTCATAAGCATTGATGAAGACCCACTTTCAGGCCTTTCAAGCCAATGGCAGCTCAGTGTTCCCCTCTTCTCTCTTTAGCCCAACACTCAGGCCTCCACCTCATCTCCTCACAACTTAAGCATCCCTCTGGCCTTCCACGTTGGAATTGAAAAGCACAGCTCTGAAACAAGGCTGCAGGAGAAGATGCTGTCAATGCAGCTCTGTCCTTCGCTGGGGTCCAGAGAGCAGTACTGACTGCATGCTTTGGGGGCTTTACTCCACGTCAGGCAGGGAGACATTCAGGACACACACAGCTGGATTGAAATATGTGAGGGTTCTTGTGACATCACTAGGAATTAAATATAACTAACAGCTCTCCCTACCCCTTGAGTTCTGGTCCTTAATTTTTAAGTTAGAGGATGGAGTTTATCAAACTTCTCTTTCCTGTTCATTGCAGCCATGGAGCAGACCACATGGAAAAACCCCTTTTCTGAAGAGTTTGCATTCTCGGGTTGTGGTCCCGGTTGTACTAGCTGTGTGGCCTTCGGCAAGTCACTTCCTCTCTCTGATCTTTAGGTATCCCTTCTCTAAATTGCCCATACTGCCGTCCTGGTGAGGTGATGGAGAACAGCCCACAAGACCCGGATGTGGCAGTACTGTCTAAGCCAGCAAACGACACAGACAAGAGAGGATAATGTGGTTATTCACACAAGTTCAACTCTTGTTTCACCTTTGGAGGTAGATAAGAAAAAGGTTCAGGACCCCACTTTTATATATAAACAGCCAAAACTAAAAATGTTTTGGAGCAAACATCTAGTTTGTAGGTTTTTGTTCTTTGGGAGTTTTTTTGTGGGTTTTTTTGTTTTTGTTTTTCAAATCCCAACTATGCAGCCTAGAGCCTGAGGTTCCTCAGAAATGCCCCCATGGGTTATAACAATAAACAGGGTTCCAACAAAAAGCAGCCTTTATGAGCTTCACAAAAGATGGTGCTCGAAGTAGTCAGAGGGTCTGCTTCAGAGTATGTGACCTGTGAAGTCTCTGAGGGGCTTCTCTTGGGGGAGGGGAATATAATGCTCTCACAAGTCTTGTAATTCTTATTATTTTTAAAAAAGGATCCCATATTTTGTGCCAAGTTCCACAAAGTCCGTATCTTGTCCTGAATAGGAGCTACAAGACCAAATGTCTAGTTCAATCTCTTCAATGCACAAATTGGAAAACTACAGCAGCTCAGAAAAAGGAAGGGATTTGCACAAGATAACAGCCCTTTGGGGCCACGGTGAAGATCCTAATTCTGCTCTTTGCTAGCTCCACCCACCCCTGTCATTTTTAGTATGCAGCTCTCTCTGCCCTGTATTTCTCTAATGAACAAACTGAGGCCTAGGGAGACCTGTTTGAGACCACATATCTGTGCCAACCACAATGACAATGGTATTGTGCTACATTTCTTGATGTTTCAAATGCTTTCTGAAAAAGGAAAGAGAATAGATGAGATGATAGATATATGCACATACACTTATATACACAAAGTATTTAAATAGCTCATTTTTAAAAAATATTTTATTTAAAAGGAAAAAGAGAAAAAAAGCAGAACAAAACAAAACAGTGTAAGGGTACAAGTAATTCAGAACTACAGAAAAGCAAAAAAACAAAAAACAGTATGCTATCACCAGTTAATAGATTACTCGCTATCATCTTAGAAACGGTGTTTCAGGTCACAGGATCAAAGCACACAAAGCGAACATTCAAACAGTGAGACTGCAAGCAGATGTGTTCAGTAATCTAATCCAAACTTAAATAGCTCATTTTTAAAAGATAAATAAATCCTTGCTCACTTGCCAGCCAGCTGGCTCCAGCTGTTGGAGAACTGGGACCTCAGCTGGAGGCTGAGCTGCCTACTCTTCATCCAGCTAACCCATGTCAACAATGCATTTTACCAACTCACTGGGTACCTCCTCAAATCAATATGAACATGCTTGATACTAGAAAAATAAATATGAAAGATGCAGTAATAACTATTTCCCTCCCCACAAGGCTCGTCACAGCTGGGAGTGGGAGGTGCTCCCCAACCCAGGCCCAGCCAGTCCTTGATGTGAGGCCAGCCGGTCTCTTCACTTCCTTGTTTCTTTGTGAAACAGGAACTTAGCAAGCAGCTCAAGTTGGGTAGGATGGGTGGTTGAGAAAGCCCTAGTGAGCCATGGCAAGGCCATAAGGCTGAAAAGTTTGTTTCCCTCCTAGAGGGCCCCAAGCAGCTTTAGGCTTGCCTGCTTGTCACACTTCCTGTGCTCTAGAATACTTTGGACTGAGGGATCTTGCTCTTGACAAGGTAGGAACACACTGGATATGGGCCACAGGGTCATGGAACCGAGACTCAGATGGGGCCCAGGAGACTCATAGAAGCATGCGCCAAGGGAATGCCTCTGAGAGAAGATGGCAGCTCCCAGTGGTGACTTCTTGGCTTTGGCAAGAGGAGAGACTCTGGGTGTGAGCCTGGAGTGATTTGATGTGGAGTCACCCACCAGGTAACCATTTTCTGTGAGCCAGACACTGCAACTGGGAGTATTTCCTCTATGTGTGTCATCTGACCAGTAACACACATTCTCTCTCTCTCTCTCTCTCTCTCTCTCTCTCTCTCTCTCTCTCACACACACACACACACACACACACACACACACACACACACATACACACACACACACACAAATGCACACAAGGTCCACATTATCTCTGTTACCCCTTTATAAAGGTTAAACACAGGTGATGTCATTTGGCCAAGGCCATGTAGCCAACAGTGATCCTTGGACACTTTGGATCCAGTTCCACCACTTCCCTTTCTGGGAGGCATTCTTCCATTCCTCTCTCTTCCCTAAGACCCTAGACAACTGTGTCCATGGGGCCAGGGGCCTACTGGTAAGACGCTAGTATTCTGGTAATCTTGGGAAAGAGTCCTAGGCAGAGCAACCCATCCTAGGCTATTCCCCCATAGAAAGACTCTCCAGTGAGTCGTGAGCATATTTGGATCCAAGCACCCAAGTCCAGCATCCTCTTCTAAGGATAATTGCCACAGCTACCTGCAGGGTTTTTTTTGTTGTTGTTGTTGTTTTTAAACCATGAGTCCAGAGCTCTGGAGATGACTATCTGTCCCTCCAGGGGACTCCCTGAGTTCTCAGACTGAAAGCTCTGTGTATGGAGTCATCGTGGCTCAGGAATGGAAACTAGAGCCTCTGTCCCTTGTCTTCATTGATCTTCTCTGTCCATCTTCTTCCCTGCAAGTTTGTCCTGTCCACCCTCCCTGTCTAAGTTGGCCACCATGGAATTTGATAATTGGCTGGGCTGCAAAGGTGGGCTTCATCTGAGTATTTTCAGGAAACTGTGTGGTCCCTGCTGGGCTACTTCTGGAAGCAGAATAATTGCTACTCATCACTAGGGTTGAACCAGTACCATCTGAATATCCTTGGAATAAACCCAGACTTTCAGGTATCCATTCCTCATTGTTCCCTAGCCACATAGACACATCTCCATCCTCTACGTGACAGCTGTTGCAATTCAACTTACTTCAAAATCCCCTACCCAACTCTGTAGGCTAAATATGACAGGTGTTTAGTACCTCACATTTTGACAAGGGCCTCCTTGTATATCAGCTCTGACTCCCGCAGCCACTGTGCCTATGATGTGACTTCCAGCTGCTGTCCTAATCCTGTTCATTCCCATTGGATCTGACACAAAGTGGGCCTGTGATACCTCGTATGACACCCAAAAGAGCCTAGGACACCAAGAAAAGGCTGTGAACAGGCCACCAATTCTCATACCTCCCTGTTCAGGAACTCTGTATAAGAGGCACTTTAGCCCCATGGCCAAAAGCACTGATCCTAGATCAAGGCCTGATCTGCATTTAGAGTTCACCTCCTGCTGTTTACTAGCCCTTATGATTTAAACTAAAATGTTTCCCAAACATCTCATGCGTTCAGCGGTGGGACTTTCAGAAGGCAATTAAATTTTGAGGGTTCTAATATCATTGATACTAATCCAACAATGAGATTATAATTTTTATCAATTCATTTTTATTAGTATAGGTGTTATGGCTTTCATCTAGGTATTCCTCCCTGCAAAGCCTTATGTGGTCACAGATGGGCTTTTCAGAGGTGGCTGGATCTAGAGTGTGTAACTCTGGGACTAAGTGTGTGATGCTGGGATCAGGGAACTATGATTACTAAATCAGTGCACTGATTGGTTTGGAATAGTTCTGGGTATAGATAATGGGAAGACCCTTCCTGGGTGTGAGTGCTACCTAACCATAGGGCATGTAGTCTGGATAGAATATAAGGGGCAGAAAAAGGGCTACTCTGGTGGTCTTGCTGCTTCCTCGCTACTTTGCTGGCTTCTGCCCACCATGAACTGTTTCTCCTCTGTGATGCTCATCTGCCATATCACCTTGCCTTGGACCCAGCCAACTATGAACTGAACTCTCTACAAACTGTGAGTTACAATAAAATCTTTCTTCCTTTAACTTTGGGTGTTGGGTAGTCTGTCTCAGCAGTGAGAAAAAGTAACTAAGACAACAGGTCTGCTGTACATAATGTTTACACTTCTTGTGCAGAGTTGGTATATGTTCATAACACATATTAATTCCTTTATTTATTCCCTTTCCTTCACCCTCTTGCTCGTCCTTCCATCTCTTGATCCCTTTACCATTTGAAAAAGATCTGACTACCAACTTCCTATTATCTTTTAGTTTTGTCTCTTATAATTCAGGTTTCTCATATAAAAGAAACCATACGATATTTAACCTTGTGTGTCTGATTTATTTCATTTAACAATATTGTCTCAACATGCATCCATCTTCCTACAAATGACTCATTTATCCTTCTTTATGGTCTAGTACTCCATTGTGTGTAAATACCACATTTACCCTATCCATTCATCTGTTAATGTATATATAAGGCACTTCCAAGATTTAGCTATTATGAATTGTGCTGCTAAAAACATGGCCATGCATATATCACTGTCATATGATGTCTTTAATTCTTTCAGAAAGATACCTAGAGGGGGAATATAGTAGTTGGATCAAATGAAATTTCTAGTTTTAGTTTTTGGGGGCTTGCTGTTGCTGTTGTTGTTGTTTTGAGGAATTTCCATACTTATTTCCACAGTAGTTGTATTAGTTTATATTTTCATTGACAATATAGAAAGGTTCTTTTTTCTCTAAAACCTCACCAGCATTTGTTATTATTTGATTTCTTAGTGGCCATTCTTTCCAGGGTAGGAAGAAATATCAGTGTTTTAGTTTGCATTTCTCTAATGGCCATTGAAGTTGAGCATTTCTTCATGCATTTATTGGCCACCTGTCCTTCTTCTGTGATGAGACTATTGGGAAGTGATGAAAATAGGAGGTGGGGGAAAGGCATAAGGTTACAAACTTGAGAGCTATCCCTTGGCCTTGGCTCCTTCCTCTCTAGTTCTTTCCTTACTTTCTCTGCATCTTGGATGCTACCAGTTGAACAGATTTCCTCTGCTTCACCCTCCCACCATGATGTTTCTGCCTCACCTCAGGTCCACAGCAATGGATCTGGTCAACCACGAAATGAAATTTCTGAAACTGTGAGCCGAAATAAACCTTTCCTCTTTTAAGTTGATTTATGTCAAGCATTTGGCCATAGCAATGAAAAACTGAGTAACACAGTAGCTGTGCAGTCTTTGGCAGTTTGCTTAACCCCTGTGTACCTTGGTTTCTTCCCTGGAAAATGAAGATAACAGCAGCTGACTTAGTGGGTTGTTATAAAGTGTGCCACCAGCCTAGCTGTTTTTCAGCTGCAATGTGGATGGAGGACGAGGGGAGTAAGAATCTTTCAGGAAGTTTTCCCAAACATAGGTATCCCTCAGTATCCAAACTATTACTATCTCAAGGCAAGGTGTGTGTTTATTCAGGGAGTGAGGAAAGGATGCTTTCGGGTGTATCTGGATCACACTTGTCCCAAATGTCCTACCCACAACCATCTAGCAAATCTCTTGGTGGCACGCTAATGGGGACTGCTATCATGATCTTGCTATTCCCCCCTGCATCCACCCTCCCAAAGTTTAGACTCATCTTGCTATCAGTGGGAAACACACACAAATGGACACATGCACACACACTGCAATATTTCTGTTAACTCAAGGTTCCCCTACGTGGCATCTATGCCTCTAGGCACATCTTTACCATACTTATCCCACTTTCAACTATTTCAGAGGATTGTGGCAGGATTAAAAGGCATTTATAAGATGTCTAATGTAGTGTTTGGCAAAGCACATGCATTAGGCGAAGGTCAGCTCCCTCATACAATAGATTTTGAAAGCTATTTTACACCCCTTCAAAGTGCCTAGCACAAAGCTGAGCTTTGCCTGCCAGCACATTATGAAGTTGAAGGTGGCCCTATTAACTGAACTACTGACCACTACAAATCACTTCTTTGGCCTTTAACTGAAGGTTCTGTGTGCCAGGAATGGAACCCATAAAATGTAAGCGCAGTGCTAGAGGACGGGGGCGGGGGGGGCGCTATTAAACAAGTGTTAAGGGCCCATTAGCTTGTGCTGGGGCTTGACCAGCTGGGACTCCAGCCAGGGTCATCTGTTGGAAGGAAAAGGCTGGGAGAAGCCAAAACCGCATGGAGGACACCCTGGACCCGCAAAGCTCCAACTGAGAACCAGAGGATAATGATCTGGAAAGGAAAAAGAAGGATGGGGCTGAAAATCCCGGACATGTCACATCTCTGTATTTCGCTCCTAGGTGCCCTCAACTGCCCTCTGGCTGCCTTTTCCCAGGCCTCGGTGGCCCAGCGCCCTGGTTTGCTAGCAGCTGCCTGTGAAGCCTCTGCGGTTACCCTGTGAGCTCAGCTCTGCTGGGGCGGAGCAAACAGGAAGCGGGCACATCCTGCGCGCCTGTTTGGAGACAGGCTGCCTCTGCGCAGGCCCAGAAGGTTCTGAGAACTGCTGCCTCCCTTGGGGCTTCAGGCTGTTAAAGAGCCTGGTACAGGTCCTTGACTGCCTACTTTCTCACACCTGATCACCCCGTCCCTAATGGCACCCTGAGTTTGTTCCCTACAAGGCTGCCAGGCTCCTCCACATGCATGCCTGCCATAAAGCCTTAGTTACCGAGCTCTTGTCCTTAGCGGCCTGAAGGGGACTTCGGGGATGGAAAAGGCAAGCCAGTGGAGAAAGATCTATGGTGCATTCTTTTCATGAGTCTCTGAGGTCCACTGAGTAGGCCAGAAATATGGGTTCAATTTAGGGGAGAAAGACTTTGTTTCCCCTGCGTTCACACCAACCAATGGATGATGGGGATGCGGGGCAGAGTTGGGAGGAGGAAGTCACAAGCCCATCTTGGGAACATGGGCGGGCCCTTTGAGATTTCGCAAGTGCCACATTTAAAAGCTTTTTAAAAGGTGCAGGTGTTATTTATGATCTCCCAAGAAGTCAGAGATTAAAGATGATCTCTGTCACTTTGGAGGCAGGTCTTGAATCAGGTAGGAAGATGTTCCTCTAGTAGATTCATTGAAGGGGAATATTTGGCTTCATGTTACTCCATGAATTTATTTCCCTTAATTGTCTTCTATATTTGAACAAAGTCTTCTTTGAATGTTAGGAAAAAATCTGTTATCTTTTATGGTAGCAATTCCCCTTCTGGACATTATCTTTTTTTTCTTTTGTACCAGGGATCAAACTCACGACCTCACACTTGCAGGCACTTAAGCGGCTGAGCTAAATTCCTGGCCCCTGGACATTCATCCTGAGAAGGAAATTGTGGATGTGGATGAGTATTACCTAAAGGACACTCAATGAGTACTTATATATACTAAAAAACAGAACCAACTGAAGTTCATCAGTGGGAGCTTGGTGAAATAATCACACAACAGGATATTCAGCAGCCATTTACAATTCCCATAGTTGAAAAATATTTAGGAGCATGAGGAAATCTTAATGGCTTCCATGTGGAAAAGCAGATACTAACACACTTTGTAAAGTATGACTTTTTTCATTTTTAAAAATTTAAAAGCAGCTCTTTTGAAGTATATAATCGACCTTCATAAGCTGCACATTTTAAAGTTTATGATTTGGTAAGATTTAACGTACCTAGACAGCCATGAAGGCAGCCCCACAATCAAAATAGGGAATATATTAATCATCTCAAAAGATATCATGAACCCTTGGTAATATCCTTTTCATCTCCCCGAACCTATGATCTGCCTTCAGTGCAGTTGGATTTTAGTAAGATAAAGAAAAGATTGTTGACCGAGAGGTAGACAATGCTTAAAACAGATGACAGTCATCATAACTGGTATGATAGATAATTATGGAGAACTTTTTGATTTTTTGTGTGTTCATTTGTATTTGCTAAATAGTATATGATAAATACTGATTGCTTTTGTAGTAAAAATGAGTCATTGAGGTTATTAAAATATCTTCCACAGATAATTCCAAAAGTGAGTACAGTGCATGAGCATTTGATAAACGTGTTGAATAGAACATTTGCCGGTGGTGGTGGCTTTGATGGCTATCAATAGGAGCAATGGTGGCAGTGGCAATGGCCATAGAGGTGGTAACTGTGGGATGATAATGGTGGTAATGGCAGTGATGACTCCGGAGATACAAGTTGACCAGAAGCATCGACCCAACTGGCAGAGAGACAGTCTCCCTTCTGGTTTCTGGGTTCTGACCAGTGAATACAGGGCTTGGGTAGGCCACATAATGTCAAGTTGATTGCCACCTCAGAGGAGATGGAGCAGAAGGCGATGACTGACTGGAGACAGAAGTACAGGGACTTTTCTCTGATTGTTCAACCAAGAGGTGCCTGCCTCAGAATCTCTGGAGACTGAAGCTGGGACTTCCTTCCTCCCTAGGGGCCACAGGGGCTGCGATTACTGTAAGAGCAGGTCACGTGTCAGGGCTTCCTGTATGCTGTTGCTGCCGGGTGTCCATGGCCCGCACCCCCAAGCTGCCACTGCAGCAGTCAGAGTGGCAGCCAGAGGCTTGGTCCATGCTGTGCCCTCCGGACAGTGCTGGTGAGGCTGAGCAAAGGGCCTCCACATTTCGACACCCAGGAGAGCAGGGAAAGAGTCTCACGGGAGTAAACGACCATGTTGCGCCGCAAGCCCTCCAATGCCAGTGAGAAGGAGCCCACTCAGAAGAAAAAGGTGAGGGGCATCTTTGGGAAACTCACTTTTTCTTTCCTTCCTTTGGAAACTCACTTCTCCCTTCCGTCCTCTGCTCTCTCTATCCATCCCCTCCAAGACTCCTAGAAGCGGGAGGAGCCAAAGGCCATATGTTGAGCCTGTAAGTTAGGGCTATTTTCCCAGAGGGCAATGGTACAGGACTCTTAGAGTACCAGGAGGGTAAAAGAAAAATTTAAATCTCTGAAGTAACTGAGCTATGGGATAGACGCTTAGAGGTCTGGAGTTATAGAATTCAACCCTACTGTGATGTGATAAAGAACTAAAATTAGGGGCCAGAATCCTAAACTAGACTTCAAGAACTACAAAATACAATGCTCAGCTTGGACGCTTAGACTTAATTCTCTCTTTCCTGCATTGGTCCTGCCACCACTTCTGCTGGTGTGTAGCCTCTCTGAATTCAGCCATCTCACTCAAAGATCCCCGCTGGGCCACCCAGCCAAGATGCTTCCAGGGCCTCCACCCTTTGGCCAGCACCCAGATCCTGCCCACTGGACTCAGCTTTGTTGCAGCTGTCCAGGCCACTGTGATAGGGTCTAAAGTGAGGTCCAGACTCAGGAAAAGGGTCCCCCAAACTGCACTGAGATGCAGGTAGCGGTACAGCTTCTTCCCAGTTGGGGAGAAAATATTTGTGAGAAACGAAAAATGAAGCTGGGAAATGGCGAGTAGGAGTGAGAGCCAAGGAGGAATAATTCAATGGGGAAAAGTTCAGAAACCAGGAAGGGAAGTAGCTGAGGTGTTCATCCTTCAGGGCTTGGGCCAGTCTGGAAGATTCCTTGAAGGCTTTTGCCAGATCTAGGTTTTTCTGGTTGGATCTGAAGATTTAATTGCATTATAAGATTCTCTCATCAACCAACAAGCACATTGTTCACATCCAGTGAGACCGTAGTTCCATTCCCAAGCAGAAGGCCTGAGCTAGGTCCCCAAGGCCTGGGCCCAGACCCATATCTGAGGCCTCCAGGGCCTCACTGTGCCTTACCACTTTTCCCTGGAGCTCAGCCCAGGAGTACTATGGGAGAGTCCCCTTGTCAGAAAAACAACTCCCAGGCAAACACTGAGACAGCTGAGAGACTTAGACTCAGGGCACTGGGGTGTGTATCCTGCCCCATCTCTCGGGTCCTAGATGGCTGCCACTTCCGGTTGTACTCTCCCCTCCCAGCTGCTTCTTTAAGGTTGCAGTGGTGGTGAGCAGGGGAGGGAGGAGATTCATGAATCTTCACACAAGCCCTGTCATCCTCCTCCAAACCTTGCATGGTGTTAGGCCCAGCAGACTTACCATTGGCTGTCGCTCCTTGATGAGTGGGGCCATTTCCTCTTGCTCTCTGGCTCATGGGGGTGGGAAACAGAGACTTCTTTTTAGACACTGCTAGGCCCCAAACCACAGGGGAGCTGAGCTGGAGGAAAGAGTCTGAGAAAGAGCTGACACTTTGATAGTGAGATCCTGCATCACCTCAGATGAAGGTGCTCAGGGCCACACAGAAACCAGAAATTCTCTTCTTTTCCCTCAGCTTCAAATATCCAGATTCTGCTTTTGGCAGGTGGCCCTCTAAAAATTTTCCCAGAGCTCTTCCAGGAAAAACAAGACCCATGTGGCAGTGTATAGTCCATATCCTTCAAAGAACAGTAGTTAGGCAAAGTCCACTGTACCCTTGCCAGAGCCTGTCTCAGCCTCCTGAGCCAAGATGAACTTGCCTACATATCCTAAACCCCATCCTGGGAAAATTCTATTAGAAAAGCCAGTCTTTCAGAAGAGAAACACAGAAAGTGAAGGCTGTGACCCAGCACCATCATGGTTTGCACAGTGAGGAAACATGAAGACAAAAGGGCAAGGAAGGTCTCAGTCTCTCTTCTCTCCTCTTCTCTCTCTCTCTCTCTCTCTCTCTCTCTCTCTCTCTCTCTCTCTCCTCACCCTCCTGCCCTTGCTTCTGCTGTGAGGTCTGCCAGATGGAGTTGAAATTATGCTACACTCTAGCTGTACCTTGGACAGTTCATTGATGTCCTTTGGGGCTCAGTTTCCTTATCTCTGAAAAGAGAGATAACTTCTAATCTGGCCACTCTGGAAGATTATACAGATCACCTGGAACGATGGTTGTGAGAGTACTCTGTCATATGTGTGCACATGTCCATGAGCGATGCATGCTTAGGCAGGGACAAAAGTTGCACAGTGCAAAGAAAAATAAGTCCTGAAGTGGAAGACACAAGACTTAATAGCACTAAAAGCCATCACTGAGAAAGAGCTCATCAGGTGCCAAACACTGTGCCGTGCACTTTACCTATCATCTCTTAGCTCACTAACTCCTCACAACAAACTTGTGAGGTGGGAACAAATATTGTCTTTAGCCCTGTTTTATACTCAGACTCACAGAAATGAAGAAACTTGCCAAAGGCCACACAGCTAGGAAGCTGAAGAACAGAGATCTAAGCCAAGATTTGTCTGATTCCAGAGTCTTAACCCCTTTTCTCTCCACTCACTGGTCCCCGCAACTGATCTCAAAAACACCGGAAGAGTATAACAAGAATAAGTGACTCAGCCCACCAGCAGAAGAGCTCTGCAGGGCAGGCCCAGATAGCTGTAGAATGAGTGACCTTCCAGCCAGCAGAACAGAAGAGGAAGCAAAGCCTCCAGGATGGTAGAGGCAGGACACAGCATCAACTATGGATCATGAAGGACTGGGTAGGCCCTGGAGAGTGAAGATATGTCCCTTAGTTGATCTTAAGTGACTTTCACTCCCTTCAGATTCTCACTCTGCACTGGCTTTGATCTGATTCCACTCAAAGGCCAGTCCCTCAAGATTTGCTTCCTTCTCCACCACACTCCCATTTTCCACACACCTTCAATCTCCCACCAGGGGAAATGGAGAGGAATTAGCCTTCAGTTAGAGTGCTTGCTCGCTCCCTCCTCCCAGTCTCTTCCTGCTCCAATCCCTAGCCTCAGTTCGAGACTCCTCCTTGCTACAGCATAACTGTAACCTACCCTCATCAGTACAGTACTGCATACCTTCAGTACAGGGTGGGCAAGCATGTTTAATCTGAACATCCAGAATCTGAAATGCTCCAAAATGTAAAACCTTTATGCATGGTGATATGATGGCACAAGTCGAAAATTCCACACCTGGCCTCATGTGATGTACAGGCCACAGTCAAAATGTAGATGCACTCACAGTGTTGTATAAGGTTACCTTCAGGCTATGGATAAGGTACATATGAAACAGAAATGAACTCTGTTCAGACTTGGGTCCCATCCCTGGTGTATCTTATATGCATGTGCAACTATTCCAAAATTCCAAAAACTCAAAATCTGACACATTTTTTGGTCTCAAGTGTTTCAGATAAAGGATGTTCAACCTACAGCTCCTTGCTAACTACAAAATAATGCCCAAGCTCCTTGGCATGACTGGCAAGGGCCTGTCATGGTTTGTTGTGCTGCATCTCCCACCATAGCCACCAGCATAGCCACTGCTTCATCCCCTCACTTGTCACATGCCTGCCTCTAACTTGCTCAAACCCTTCCCAGCCCCACCTGGAGAAAGTCTGTCTCCCTGCTGGCCCAGCTCAAATGTGCCTTTCCCACAAAGCCTTCCAGAGTGCTTCATCTCCGCGTTCCCACCTACTCTCTTGGTGGCTCCATCCAGACTCCATCTGCATTAGTACTGCACTGAATCCACTTCTGTTTTGGGTGGAGGTACCTGCACGAGCCCTGAGATGGCATAAGCATAACCACATGCACAGGCTTCTAGAGCCACAGAGCCAGATTTGAGCACCTGCTCTTCTTTTCCCACTGTGAGCTGCAGGACCCTGCCTAGAGCACTTCATTTCTCTGCATCTCCTGTTCTCTCTCTCTGTGAGATGTGGATATAACCTGGGGCAGGTAAAGTTCAAGCAAATCGGCACACACGAAGTGCCTGACAGGGGAGAGGGGGCAGGCACATGGGGGGTGTTCGGGCTTTGATTGCAGAATCTCCTTACACACGTGCACACACACACACCAGGACATGAGAAGCAAGGGTGCTCCGTGTGTGGTGGGTGCACTTGAAGGCGTTAAGAGGGTGGTGCAGGAGACACCTAGGGAAGCCAAGGCTGCTAGGGAAGCAGGGAAGAAGATGCAGCTGGCACAGGAGGGGAAGATTTCTGCCAAAGTGTTGTGTTTTAAATTGGAATCAAAAAACCTTTTGGCCAGGCATACTAACACAGGTTTGTAATCCCAGTTACTCAGGAAGCTGAGATGGGAAAATGGAAAGTTTAAGCCCAGCCTGGGCAACTTAGTGACTTACCCCGTTCCTTGAGTTTCAAAAAAAGAAACAAAAAACAGTGTACCCCACAATGAGCTTCTATAGAATGAAATCCTCATTCAGGCAGCATCCAGCTCAAGAAACAAAACATTTCCAGAAGTCCAGAAGCTTCTCTGGACTTCCCTTTCCCCAAGGGTAACCACTTTCCTGACTTCCAACAGCATAAATGAGTTTTTATTATGTGTGGAAATTTCTGGAGGCAGAACCATGCCACTTACATTCTTGGGGCCTCTTGCTCAACAGTACATCCATATCGTGAGGAGAGTTTGTACTGTTTCTTGCCATGTATTGTTTCTTGTATGACTGCCACAATCAATTTTGTCATTCTACAGTTGATGAGTATTTGGGTTGTTTTTGGTTAAATTGGAATTTGAAGGTGAGAAACCATGGTGGACAGAGAGAGAGTAGAACAGCCCAGATGGAGAAATGTCCAGAGTAAGCGTGCAGGTGGGTCTTACGAAAGGCTGAGCATTAACCTGCATCTGGTGATGGATTGCTGGGTCAGGCAATGTTTTAAGCACTCTGTGTATTTACTCATTTCATCCTCACCATAGCCCAGTGAGGTAGATGCTTTGGGCTCCATTTTACTGAAGAGAAAATAGAAGTGCAGAGAAGTTAAGTAACTTATCTAAGCTTTACACAGCTACACAGTAGCAGAATCCACCACAGGCAACCTTGTCATCTGATGGCACATGAAGCTTAGATTCACAAAGTTTAAATGCGTTACCTAAGGTCTCAGCCCAAACTTGAACTCAGCAATGCCTGATACCAGAAATGTAGCCTTTTCCATGAGGCCTACAGGCTCTCCTGAGACTTGAAAAAGTGGCTGACAACGTGTGTGACACTAACTTGCCTGCATGCATGACTGCCAAAAAGCTCTGGCCACAAAGGAAGGCCAGGCAGAAACTCAACTGGGTCAAAAGTTTCAACTTATTCCTGGGTAGAGATCACCCCAGGGTCACCAAAAGGTAACAGGGGTATTGGGACTGTTCCTAAAGTTGGAAGAGGGTCTGGGTGGGCTGTCATCCTCAGTCACCCAAAGAATATGTGTTCTTTCCATCTCCCTGGAGAAGCAGTCAGCTTGACTCGAGGACCAGCACCACCTCCGTGGTCCTTTTCAATTGCCTTCTGTTTGGGCTAAAGCTGGGACTGAAAGGCCTTCATACCAGACCCTAGAAGCCCAAAGCCCTTCCTCCCAGTCCCCAGACTACAGATTAATGACAGGAAAAGGTCTAGGGAAAGAGCTGCAATTAGAGGGCAGTCAAACTATGAGTTTATCCTTCCCTAACAAAGCCTGCTTCTGGCCCCATGCCTGCCTCCTGCTCACTTTCCAATCTTACCAGTCCCTGGGGCTTCAGGGGCAACTTGGCCTCCTGGTCTACAGAGCAGGCTAGGAGGTGGCAGAAGGAAGGCCACAATAGGACCCATCAGCCTATAAATAGCACCACAGCCTGCACTTGGGCCCAGGCCAGCTCAGTGCCCACCCTATCTCTGTTCCCTCTTTTCCATGTAATTAGAGGAGGAAGTTATCCAGGCAGCTGCATCCTACCATACAAGAGGAGGAAATAAATGGAAGGTGGAGGATAGAGGGGAAAGAAAGGGCCACAAGAAGGAAAGAATAATGGGAGGGGAAAAGTGAGGAAGGAGGATGGAAAAGATGCATGGGAATCACAGCGGTCAGCCCACGGTCATACTTGCCTCTGAATACCCACTCACAGTCCCCTTTCTAGGTTCCCTAAATAGCATAGAGGAAACTTTCCAACCTAGGCTGTTGGCCACCCCAGTCATGTGGCCCTGGTGATGCTGGTCACTGCTTGGCTTGACCACTGACCTAGTTTCTGGTCAACTACCTCTAGGAATGTGTGGCTCCTGACCCCTGATTACTGACTTGACTTTGACCAAGACCCAGCAAAAGTATTAGACTGTTGCACTACTGTCCCCAAGGGATGGGACCAATTCTGCGTGTGTTGGGGGACAGTAATACTGCCCCTGACCTGGGGGTTAGCCACTGGACCTCGCCCTTTGAGTAGAAAAGAGGATGTGAAACCTTCAGCTTTGTGTGGGTATGGGGCTTTGGTTCCTCCAAGCTCTTATCTTGGTGTCTGCAGTCTATCCCGCTCAATCTGTCTGGCCATCTGTGAACCCTGGTTCCTGTGTGTGTTTTCTGGTCTTGACTGTTTATCTTGATACAGGCTCTGCCTCAATTTCTTGCATCTAGAGGCTGCCTGCTTACCTGCCTTGCTCTAGTTTCTGGCTGTTATCTTACCATGTGCATGCACATACAGTTAAGAAATCTCATTTCCAATCATCTGTGCACAAATCTCTAAGTACCTTCTGTGAGTAAGCCTGTACTGTGGCTTTCTAAAAAGTAGAAAAGTAAGCCAGGTCTTACTGGCTTTGGATGAGATTGCCTTGATCTTCCTGAACACAAGTTTTCATCAGGCCGGAGGACCCGGTGTTTGCTCCTACCAAACTGTGACTGCAGAGCAATCTCGGAGCAGAACCAGATCATGCAGGCCAGAAGCATGGGGTTTGGGAGGGATTTGCCCTCAGTTAACTTCCGATGAAGTTCTTGCATCTGCTGAGGTGCAAATTTAGTCTGTCTCATTCAATCTTTCACTGTGGGTTTTTGTTTCATCTTTTTTTTTTTCTGTATTTTTTGAGACAGGGTCTCACCAAGCAGTTCAGGCTGGCCTCAAATTCACTTTGTAGACCAGGATGTTATTAAACTCCAGAAATCTTGCTGCCTCAGTCTCCCAAGTGCAGGCATGACAGGCATGTACTACCGCGCCTGGCTTCACTGTGTATTTTTGGGACCAAACTTCAAATCTTCAAATATTGGAGGAAATTTGTGCTTAGTTTAGGACTTCACTGAGGTCTAAGGCTTCTGAAATCAGAAGCATGGTCTGTGGCTAGGGACCAGGTGAAGAACAGGGTAAAATCACACAGCTTGAAGACATCTTGACGTTTCACCTCTTTAGCCCTGGGCCCTCGTGTGTGTGTGTGTGTGTGTGTGTGTGTGTGTGTGTGTGTGTGTACATGTACATACATAGGAGGGGCACATTGGGAGGAGAAAACAGATCACCCTCGTGCAGCTATTTTTGCACCACTGATTGCAACACAACTGTTTCTTCCAGCTCTCTCTTCAGCGCTCCAGCAGCTTCAAGGATTTTGCCAAATCCAAACCCAGCTCCCCCGTGGTGAGCGAAAAGGAATTTAATCTGGATGATAATGTGAGTTTCAGAACCTCCTGGGGGGATCTGGCTGCAGGCAGCAGTGGGGAGTAGGAGGGAGGGAGGAGGGAGAAGAGGAAATACTAGGATTGTTGGGGCAAGGTCTCCTTTAACAGAAGGCCTGGCTACCACATGCCAAAGTTCTGGGCCTCAAACACTCACGTGCATTCCTTTCAGTTACAAATTAAATAGCAAATTAATTACAAACTAATTGAGCTGAGGACAGGGCTGAGGCTGAGGAAGAAGATGAAGGGGTCCCAATTCTAACCCCCTTCCAGCCTTTGCCATGACCCAAAGGCCTGTTTTTACTCCAAGTCCTGGGTCCAAGCAAGGTCACTTGGGTCCCTGGACCTCCTCTTTTTTGCCACAGATTCCAGAAGATGACTCAAGTGTTCCCACCCCAGAGGATGCTGGGAAAAGTGGCAAAAAGCTGGGGAAGAAGTGGAGAGCAGTGATTTCCCGAACCATGAACAGGAAGATGGGCAAGATGATGGTGAAGGCCCTGTCAGAGGAGATGGTGAGGCCTGGAAATCTGCAGGGGCACTCTGGCAGGTGTAAGGGTGAGGATGATCACCTGAATGGCCAGTGCTCAGGCCTGAAAGTCCTATTCAGTTTAAGCAGAAAGGTCACACAGGAGAAAGCACACCATCAACCATGAGTATAACAAGGCTGAGGGTTAAGGAGACTGACTGGGAAAAGCAAAGTCTTTGAGGAGGGATGGAAATTTGGGCAACAGAAGCTTCCAATAAAAATAGGGTAGGGGGGTGCAGCTGAAGGGGAGGGATGAGATGGATTTGCCTGAGGCAAACCCATTCACCTCAGAGCTCTGCTTGGAGCTAGCCTCTGGGACTGGGAAGGCCTAATTATTGGAGGATACAGATAAAAACATACATACTCCTGCATTTATGGTGGGTTTTTTTGATAAACCAGTCATAAGTTGAAAATGCTGTAGGTGAAAAGTGCATTGACTATCCTAGCATTCTGGGAGGCTGAGGCATAAAGACCACAAAGTTCAAGATCAGCCCAATGACTTAGCAAAAACCTATCTCAAAAAAAAAAAAAAATTAGGAAGAGGTTTGGGATGTACCTCAGAGCTATAGCCCTGGGTTTAATCTCCAGTGTTATAATGAAAAATAAAAAGAAGAAAAGCAATGAATACTCCTAATTTACTGAACATCAGAGCCTATAGCAACACAGCCCTCTGTAGAGTGTTGGTTGCTTCTCCTCATGAACCTGGTGCTGACTAGGAGCTGTAGTTTACCCAGTACAGGAGAGGATCAGACCCCATGGTGCCAGTCTGGGAAAAGATCCAAATTCAAAACTGGAAGTGTGGTTTCTACTGAATGTGTATCAATTTCACACCATCGTACAGTCAAAAGATTCTAAGTTGAACCATAGTTAAGTTGAGAGACCACAGACAAAATTGAGAAGGCTGGCTTTAGCTCAAGAGGAAGGTGACAAGTAACCACAGTAGCTTAAGGCACAGAGTGAATCTGGTGTGCTTGTATCTCTTACAAAAGAAACCAATTCATGGTATGCTGGACTCAGCTTGTGAGAGCGGTTGGTTAAATTGACAGGAACTTTGCAAGCTGGTTGTTAAATCCAACCATTATTTTAAAAATTATATAAATATACAAATAAATTCTATTAAAAATAAGTGTGATCCCAGAAATCTTCAGAATTCATCACACCTGTTACTCCTATCAGTCATTGAAGACATTTGCATCTATAGTATCTGTGTAGTGGAAATAACTTAGCAATCTCCTCCTCTCACTTGTGTGGAGACATTGCAGTGGTAGCTTGATTTTGGCCATGGTGGGGAATAAATACAACACAAGAACAGGCAAATCCTTGAAGCTTTTATTCTTGAAGAGCCAGCTGATAGCATCTCCCTGAGACAGGGTGAGTTGGGCAGAGCTCTGGAGTCAGAATGAGGTGTTTGTGGGTTCCTGCAAGCCTTGGCAGGGTAATTCTTCATCTGCAAACTTAAGCCAATATATCACTTATCTCCAAGGATCACCCTGAGGATTAAGTGAAATGGTAGGCAAGCCTGGCACATAGGAGCACAGGCAAAAGTAGTTTGCTCTCAGCACCAATGTCTGCTTGACCGGGCTGTACCAGTGGCCCTCAGCCCAAGCTCAGCCACTATGGCCTTTCCTCTGTGTCCCTCAGCACTTGAGAATGATGAGGCATATTCACCTGGCACCCTGGTGAGCCTCGTTCCAGGAGAGAGGCAGGACAAAGACTGTCAATTAGGGCTCAGAGAGTGTCACTGAGCTTGTAGGTAGCACAGCTGAAGTTTGGGCCAAGCCCAGGCTCAATTCCATTGCTACCTTGGCGAGGCTGCTCAGGGCTTCTTGCCTGCCTCCCTACAGGGAGACACGCTGGAGGAGGGCTCAGCTTCTCCAACATCTCCAGATTGCAGCCTGGATAGCCCTGGCCCTGAGAAAATGGCCCTGGCCTTTGCTGATCAGGAAGAGCATTCACATCCAGTGCTCAGCCGCCAGGCATCAACGGGTGAGTAGAGTAGGTGGGAAGACACCTGCTGAATCTGGAGGGAAAGATGGGGTAGCCACATGCCAGTGGGCTGTTTGGGAGGGGGTGGTAAGAAAAATGTTTCCTGTCTGCCTGCTAGAAGCTTTCCCAGACCTCTTCACATTAAATCTTCCCAATAAGCTCATGGGATCCATACTATTACCTTCACTTCACTGATGTAGGAACTGAGGCATAGGGAGATAAGTGCCTAGATCTTGAACTCAGATTTGTCCTAGAGCAGCTTACACGTGCTGTCCCCAGGCCCTGGAGGGGACCACAGCAGAGGAAGATCCTCACTCTTAGACCAGCATGGCCCCACCCTGAGGGCAAGTAGAAACAGCCCCTTGGACCTCTGACATGGAAGACCAGGGTGGGATTATAGGTTCTCCACCTGTGAAGTCACCTTTTTGGACCCCAGACCTTCTTTGGTTGGCTGGGCTCCAGAGCACCATATGACATCTTGTAGAAGTCCAGGGACTACACAAGAGGTACCTTGCCTGGCGGGGCTTGGTTACCAGCCTGCAGCCCTAAAGAGGCACTGCTTTTCTAGTCCCTCCAAGTTTCTCACTCTGGCTCTACAGACACCTCACTGCCCCTCCCAAAGCCACTTAAAACATCGATCATCCTGCCACTCCCACGCAGGAAGAAAGAGCTCACCTGAGTTTGTGTGGGACATTGTAACCAAACACTGAATCTTATTAAGTGGAGAAAGTTAATGCAAGGTGTGGCTTGCTGGGGGCACTGATGTAAGAGGCCTCAAGCGGATCACCTAGCATGACCAGCCTTCAGTTTCCTCATCTGTTCATGGGATGGCTGGCCCATTTGGCACCCTCCCACCGCCACACAATTTGCCATTCTTTGGTCTGTGAACTGTCTGTCCTGTTAACTCTTCATTATCTTAAGTCTCAGAGGTGAAGCTGTCCTTCTCCAGTGTGGCTGAGGGGATGGGTCCAAAACACTTGGCCACCAAAGTTCAGCTTTCCTCTCCAGCGTGTACTCTTGGGACTTTTAGCAGGTCCCCCTGGAAGGCATCTGCTGGGCATTGGAACAAAGCTGTCTTCTCCCTGCCCAATTTCCTGCAGGTAGTGAGCTCTACAGCCCCAGCACAGGCTCTGGCAGCTTTGGGGAGGAATCATCTACTCCACTGTACATAGGACCCTTCTGTGGCCGAGCTAGGGTCCACACCGACTTCACTCCCAGCCCCTATGACCATGACTCGCTGAAACTGCAGGTAAGGTTTGCATCCAGGATCCTCCAGAGCCCGGCAGGCTGCAGCCATAGAGACTGGACTGAGCCAGAGTGAAACAGAATTAGCAGGGGCCAAATAACCCCCTGCTCTGCTCTCTTGTCCTCTCCTTTACCCCCACAGAAAGGAGATGTGATCCAGATCATTGAAAAGCCACCTGTGGGCACATGGCTGGGCCTGCTCAATGGCAAGCTGGGCTCTTTCAAATTCATCTACGTGGATGTGCTGCCTGAGGAGGCTGTGGGCCCTACCCGCCCCAGCCGCCGACAGAGCAAAGGCAAAAGGCCCAAGCCCAAGACTCTGCATGAGCTGCTGGAGCGCATTGGCCTGGAGGTTTGAGCTTGGACCTACATTTGTGTCTCGGATCAAGGGAGGCACACTTGCCCGAGATGGGGGTTGGGGAATGACAGCTATGGGGATAGACTGTAGGCAGGGGTGTCAGTGACTTGCCTCTACCTCCAGGAACACACATCTACCCTGCTTCTCAATGGCTACCAGACACTGGAAGACTTCAAAGAACTACGGGAAACACACCTCAATGAGCTGAACATCATGGACCCACAACACCGGGCCAAGCTGCTCACAGCTGCAGAGCTGCTGCTGGACTATGACAGTGAGTGGCCTTAGGAACAGTGGGATGGTCATACAGTCGGCATTCAAGAGAACAAATGATTGCCTTGCCCTGCCCTCTGACCACACTACTCTGGGGCATCTCTGCAGTAGGAAGGTACTCTTTGCACACTTGATTTTGAGTCTCAAAGAAAGTAGGTTGGGGTAAGGAGTTGTAGGGGTGATCAGACCCCACCTCATTTTGGATCAAAGGGGAGACTTAAGGCCTGAGAAGGTAGGCATTTATGTGAAGTCTCAAAGCTGTGTGATGCAGCCAGGGTTTAAGCCAGGTTGACAGGATTCAAGCTCAGTGCTGAAGTTTAAGCTCCTGGGCCACCTCGGAGTAGCCTGCAAACGTTCACCTGTTTCTAAACTGAAAGTGGTGAGAATAGTAGGTGGGGGTTGGTGGAAGTGTCAGAGGGACCAACTGCCTCCAGACTTCCCGGGCTCCTAACCCTACCCAGGTGTTACCCAGGGCTTCTGGCCCCTCAGTGTGGGACCAGTACTGTATTGTGCTTTCCTCCCCCGCCCTGGCAGCTGGCAGTGAGGAAGCTGAAGAGGGCGCTGAGAGTGGCCATGAGCCAGTGGTGCACACAGTGTCGGAACACAAGGTGGACATCCCACGTGACTCCGGATGCTTCGAGGGCTCAGAGAGCGGGCGTGATGAAGTGGAGCTGGCAGGCACTGAGGAGCAGCTGCAGGGCCTCTCTCTAGCTGGGGCACCTTGAGGTAGAGGCAGCACAGGCCAAGGTTGGGCCTGAGCTGCAGAGGCCACAGGAATGAAAAGCCTGGGCCCAGAGGACAGTGCCAAGCTTGGCCCTGTTTTCCCAGGGTCAGTTAGGGCCACAGGCCTGGCCAGAGCCCTATAGGCTCAGCTGGAGTGGACAAAGGCACATCCCTCCTCCAGACCCCTTTCTTTTCCAATGACTGACAGCACAGCCCTCCTGGCACCATCCACACCCCCAGGCCACAGCCATAGCAGATGGGGCATCAAGGGAAGAAAGCTGAGTGTACCCCACTTTCTTTTTAACTTTCTTAGGGGTTTGGCTACCCAATTACTATGAGACTTGAACCAAGTGCTTTCCCCTCTCTGGGCTTTGTACCTACCAGATATAATGGGTAGTTATTGAGGACTTCCTGGCCAACTCTGACACTGTATGATTTTTTTGTTCTGGTTTTTGGTCTTTTTTGGTGCCGGGGATGGAACTCATGACCGCCATTTGCTAAGCCACACTTACACCCCTGAGCTAAACTCCTGGCCAACACTGTATGATTTTAAACGTGTGCTCTCCTGCTACCTGTGGCCTGGGGCACCAGTGGGAAGTATTGAGGAGGCTGGAGGGGCCTCAGGCTTTCAAGTGAAATGGCTCTTCCTGCCTATCCATTTCACACCTTCCATGTGACTCAAGCTGAGATGCAACTTCCTCTAGTTTAAAACAATGCCTATACCTCAGACAATGTGCACCCTCTTCCGTCCCTGGCCCCCGCAAATTAGGCTTCCCACAAGACTAATAGCAGGTGGTCATACCTCGCTCTCAAGGACACAAATGCCTCAAATGCTAGTTGTAGGTCTAGGTCCAGACTTGGCCACACGTGCAGGCCCTCAAGCAAAGAAAGCACTAAGCTTGACATTGAGACGATCACTGGCCAACACAGCTTTGCTAATGTTTTGGTGTACCCTGAGCTCCAGAAACTGTGGAGGGTATCTGGTGATAAAGACCTCTCTTGACTCCAGTAGCCAATCTTTGCCATGAATCTCCCAGACAAACCCTTCCCTGGTATGGGACAAACAATTGTCCACTACCTCTAGGACTGCCTACTTCGTAGTCACACTTCTTGATCTGCTATCAGGAACTTGGGGAAAACTAGCTTTGCGGAAGGGGCTAGGTATAAATATGAAGGGGGGGGGAGACAAATCAGAAGAAATAAAATACAGGTAGAATGAAATCACTGTCTTCAGTTTTCTTTCCTGTGGAGTGAGGGTTGTGGGAAGGGGCAGATAGTTGTCCAAGGCTGGTCTCAGCAAAATGTTCCTCCACTGATCTTTCAGCGCCATCCACCCCCTCCTTGATGATACCCACTGCCCTTGGTTCTGTTTACCTCAAGCTCTATCTGAATCTTTGGCTGGCTCTATGCAGGCCTTCTGAGAACAGAGCTCTGGCTCTCCCATGGCTTTCCTGGAGTCCAAGAGTGGACAGAAGGGAAATTACTTTAACAGTTCATTTCAACAAGAAAGGGAAATTTCCCACTAAGTTCATTTTAACAAGAGCCTTGAAGATTCTTCTCTGTATGAAGAAGGGCAAACACTGGAAAGCTGTCCAAAGTGCACAAGGGGAAGTTACACACAGCATGGACTTTTCCCTGAAGCCCTTTTCTGGGGGCCTGCCCTGCATCTACCAAAGCTGCATCAAACAGGATGGAGATGGAGATCCTGACTTCCTCTGTTTATGCTGCATTCACTACATTAGAGAGAGCAGATTGGAGTGACAGCTGTCACCACAGTTAAAACAAGGCCACTTTGTTCCCAGGCTGCCTTCTCAGCCATGCTCCTCCCAATGCCTGTAATGACTGTGGGCATCAGGAAACTTATCCAAGAAGCAAGAGTCCTAATAGCCTCAAAGCCACAAGAGGAATGAATAATTGTTCAGTGCCCTTAGTGAGCACAGACACCGAGAACTTTACCTATATTATACCATGTAGTCCTCAGTGAACCCATGAGCTAGGTACCATCAACATCCCAACTTGCAGAGAAGGAAACTGAGGCTCAAAGTAGTTGATTATGAAGTTTCAGAGCCAGAAGTCTGCCCGACTCTCAAACCCATGTTCTAAAGTACCTATACAGTGCTTCTCAAAAGGCTTCTTTCAATGAGCTTGTCAGAGGCTGTAGGCACTCTGGAGGGTAATCTGACCATCTGACTCAGCCTTTCCCCTCCCAAGATGTGGTCTACAAAAAGAGCCACACAAATGTACAAAGACACATAGACCAGACCAGTCTGTCTGTAATATTAAAAACCTGGAGCCGGGATGTGACGCATTTCTGCATCCCACTACTCTGGGAGGCTGAGACAGGAGGACTGCAAGTTCAAGCCCAGCCTGGACAACTTAGTGAGTCTCTGTCTCAAAATAAAAAAATATAAAAGGGCTGTGGAGGTGGCTCAGTGCAAAAGCCACAGTTCTATCCCCAGTAACTGCCCCTGTCCCACAAAAAAAAAAAAAAATCGCAAATTAGGTAGAATCCATGTGTGTCCAACCTTCAGCTCATGGTTGGACACACCAAAGTTGCTATAATGAATAATATTTGAAAATACAGGAGGTTTTTGTTACTTATATACATTGAATGTGTTTTGTTTTGTTCTGTTTTATTTTTACAGTAATGGGGACTAAACTCACAGCCATTACACTAAGCTACATCCCTAGCCCTTTCATAAAATTTTGAGACAGCATCTCACTAGGTCAGCCAGACTAGACTTGAATTTGTAATCCTCCTGCCTCAGCCTGCCAGAGAGCTGGTATACTTACATATTTTATATGTGGCCCACAGCAATTCCTCTTCAATCAGTGTGGCTCAAGCAAGGCTATTATGTGTGCTCATACAATACAATGTGGCCATTTAACATGATACTGTAGAAACTTATGACATGGGGGGACTCTTCCTGGAATTTTTACTCTTAAATTTAAAAAGTGTATAAATAATATACCAATATTTTTGTTGTAAAAGAAGTTGGTGTTATATCAAGGGAAAGCCAAATACTTAAGATTATTTATAGGGTGATTCTATTTTTATCTAAGAAAAGAAAAACACACACAGAATAAAAGACTGAAAAGATGTGCAACAACAGGTTACCCGTGATCGTCTTGTGAGAGACACGGGGTGGGACTGGGGGAGCAAAGGGTTAGAAGTGTTCACTTCCTACATTCTTGTTTCATTTGACTTTCAAAAGTACCTGTTACTTTTATATCAATGAAAAAAGGAACAATGTTTCAATTTTTTGAAAAATAAAACTAATAAATAGGGCCTAACCCTCTGGTCTCTAATAAAATAGCAACGAAGGCATCTGGAAAGATCAGGCTTTGGAACAAATAATGCCCAAAACGCTTTAAAAAATTCCTTCATTCCAGGGCTCTGTTAGTGGATACTGCTAAACCTTTAAAAACCCCTAGGGAGCCTAGGAGTGTAGCTAGTGGCAGAACACCTGCTTAGCATACACAAGGCTCTAGTTTCCATCCCCGGCACCCCAACAAACAAAAATATCCTACTAACAGCTACTAGTTCAATGCTAAAGAAAAAAAAAATCAGAAAAGAGAAATGCCTAGGAAAATGATGGTTTGAAATTCTCCCTATCCTGGAGATGGGGAGTGGGAGGATGTCTCAGAGCTATTGGCTGTTTGGCCAGTAAGGTGATTACAGGATGCAAGGAGGGAGCACAAAAAGGCTCCAGTGACCACAGAAGTTTTGGAGAGGCAGGTGAAGAGGGCATGAAGGAAATGCAGACAACCGGCCAGAACCTGAGGAGTGAGTGAAAAGGTAGAACTGAGCAGAGCCGTGGGTCAGCCTGAAGCACCTCCTCCAGGCTGAGCCTCCAGAACCTCTTGTCTAGACTGGAAACTAGATGCCAAGGAGTGCCCTGACTTCAGAAAATTGAGGTCTGGGGCCTAACAAGCTGACTCTTTACAGCTGGAGAGCCTATACTCTCACCCTGGCCTGGGATGTCAGAGGCCCAGGGATCTTCAGCCTCCAACTCCCACTGGAAGGCTAGGGATGTGTTGGTCTCAGAGGGAAGACTTCTGCCCTTGAATCCTTTCCTCCTGGGCCTGGGGATAGTGAGCACAATCTCCTCTAGGGTAGGTGAGGCTTGGCATTTAGGACTCACTAGTTGGGCCACCTTAGACAAGACATTTAAGCTTAAACCTCAGTTTTTATATCAAATTAGAGGTAATAGTATTAACCCTATAGAGCAATTATGAAGGTTTAATGAACTAGTATACATACTTAGCACAGTGTCTAGCACAAAATAAAGGCCCAGTGAAGAGCATGTCTGATTTCTTCAGTCTGTATCACACTGCAACTTCCATTTCACTCCCTTCAAGGCCCGTCTCACCTCTGACTTCTAGCTAGTACAGTGACCAGGAATGAAGGTTTCAGAGTTCAAGTGCTTCCAAATTCTAGCTCCACCACTTAGTAGCTACATGACTCCAGGGAAGTTACAAATATATGCATGTCTTTACTGCAAGGCACGAATAATCATCTAATAACACCTACTTCCTGGACTTTAGAGAAATAAATGAGGTAATATATATTAAATTCCTGGCATACAGTGACAATAAATTGCAGCTATTTGACCTTTACATAACCTCCAGGCACAAAGAGCACATCAATGAGTGCTTGTCTGCAGACTGACATTCAGCACTGCCATGACTCAGACACAAACTGATATCCAAGCACCCAGGAGACGATGGGCTTCAAGGGTTGATGAGGGTGCTGGCTCTGATGCTGAGAAGCTGGTGATGGAGATAAATGAAGCCCACCTGAGACATTCGGGGCAGCCCAGGCTCTGCCCAGTTCATAGGAGGATCAGCTATAAGCATTTGATTTTTGTTAGGCAACTCTTTGGACTTGCATGGGCTGTCCAAAAGAAAGAAGAGGATCATGGCCAAATTCAAGAAGAAAGGGCCCAGCCAGTTCCTTTTAGTTCACAAGGAGAGCCACTTTCCCTTTATCCTTCCCATCAGGGGAAGCAACGAAGGCACTGGGCAATCCTAACCCAACTCTCTCTCCTCACTTGCTGCTTCTACACTTAATAACCCTACACGAGACCACCCCAATCAGATTCTGATCAGGTCCCCATAGGTCTCTACAGTCTCTCTACTACCCCTAATCCCTGTGGCAGTGAATCCCTAGCTTCTGCCAGTTGCCTTCCAACATATCACTCATTGAGCTCCCCTCTCAGGCTTTTCATAGAAGTGGAGGCTGCAGTTGGGCCAATAGAGACTAAAGGCATTAAAACAAATGCTAAATAAAGGTTTTTTTTTTTTGTAAGGGAAAAAAGCACACTGACCTCCATAGCCCAAATAGGGCCTAATACCTTTCCTTCTCCCAAGCCAGGAAATTCAGGATGAGGTATGAGGTTTCCCAGCTGGGAAAAGAAGCAGCTCTCCCGGCCCTCCTTCACAATAGAAGCCACCTTAACTTCTCACACAACGGTAGCCACTGTACATAGTATTCAACCCACAACACAATCAAGTGGGAAGGAACTGCCTCCCTCCTAGACCCAGCCGAGACCTCTCCTCCAGGAAGGACCTAAATAAATGGAATTCTATAGTACTTAATATGTAGGCTTCACCTTTTCCTATAATTTCACAGTGACCAATATAGCATTTGTATACCATTGCCTCTGGGACTTGCCTGGGATAGCGTCAGAAAGAACCCAGGGTAATGGCTCTCACAAAAGGACAGCCAACTTGACTGTGGGAACCTGGCAAAGCAACTTCCTGACTTTCTGTACTAAAGAAACCCCACCATCAGTTCAACCTATATTCAAGTTTAAAACAAAAAAACCAACTGCCCCATGTCATCATGACTAAATATAGTCAACCCACTATATATCTAAAATGGAGAGAATGTCAGTAATATTAATACAAAATGGCAAATAACTCTAAAATCATTGCTGCTTCTCAATTTACTTACAAGAAAATAGGTTCAACAATGTTATTTCTCTTAAAGTTAATGCATGGTCAAGAGCCAACAAGGATTTATTGACTGTGAAACAAATGAAAGGCTCATTTCATTCAAATGACATTTATGGTTATTCAAACTCCTTTTACTGTCTATACCTGCTGGACAGGGGCAGTAGGTTATTCTAGAAAGTTCTCTGGAATGAAAGTTAGTGTGTTTTGGTCAGGTCTTGTCTCTGTCAGTAATTCTTTGCAAGCCCTGGGTAAGCTACTGTACATAAGGGGACAGAGGGGATGTGACAGCACAAGGGTTTGGTATGAACTACATATATGATCAATTTGTTCCCTTCAGTCATGTTGGTCAACAAAGCTTCTTTTTTTTTTTTTGTCTTTTTCCTTTTCATCGGTACCAGGGATCAAACTCACGACTGCCTGCTTGTAAGGCAGGAGCTTATGCCGCTGAGCTAAATCCCCAGCCCCAACAAAGCTTCTTTTTTATGGCAAATATATCACCATGTCTCTCACTTAGATATAAAACCCCAATTCTTTTAGCCAAGTTGGGACAATCAAATAATTGCTGATACACAGCCAAACAGATGGGCAGTAGATAGCAAGGAAGACAGTAGGAAGGAGGGCTTGAAGAAAGCAAAGGGGCACCAAATGTCAAGGGTATAATTCCACTCCATGTTGTAGAGTAGTAAAACCACTTCTAAATCAAGGGTTCTCTCATTTGCTGGTCGATGGTGGGGTGTGAATTCTAAGCTCTAATTTATTACTCATTTAGAAATCCATCTAATACCAGAACAAACACAGACAAAGGACTTGGACAAAAAGAATGAACACAAATGGCAATAAACATAGGGCAGAGGAGATATGCAGAAAATACATAACCTGTCTTTTAAAGAAACACAAAGAAGAATGCTCTCTGAGATATAACTGACAGAGCAAAATGGGACAGTCTTTCTGTAAAGCACCATGGCCATATTTATTGAGAGGTTTTAAAAGGGCATTCCTTTTTGACTCCATAATTCCACTCCTAGGAATCCACTCTGAGGAAAAAATCAGAGACGAGCCCATATATAAGGAAGTTTATCATTACATCATTAATAATAATGAAAAATTAGGAAAAGCCCAAATGTCTGACTCCAGGAGTACATGATGTGGAGTCATTAGGAAGTCTTTTTAAATAACTTCTAATGATACAGAAAATACTAAGTTAAAAACAACTTTACAAAACTATATTTAGTTGAACTCCTATTATGTTTAAACATATACATACACAGAAAAAAGACTAGAAAGAAACATACCAAAGCATTAACAGTGATTATTATATCATGGTGATGAGAGTTTGTGGGTGTTTTTAAAAATCTTGCTCATCCAATGTTCAACAGTGAGCATGTATTACTTTTAAAACATAGTTTAAAAGCACATTAAAGGCATGTGGGGAAAGAGATGTTCATTTACTTTCTCTCTAAGCTTTCAAAATATTTTGAGAGAAGAACCTCTGAGATAATCTGGTCCAGGGGTTTGCAGGCCTAGAAGCTCCATTACTCCTTTGCTATACAAGATATTTTGTGATGCAACCTTCACCACCCCGAGATGAATTTCAGTCAATATAAACTGCTTATACTTTTAATTTCAAGAATAGCAATTTGATATATACTTGTCCCTCAGTATCCATGGGGGATTGGTTCCACTGTCCCCATACCCTCAAGGCTACTAAAATCTGCAAGTGTTGAAGTTTCTTAGATGAAATGTTACAATATTTGCATAGGACCTTATTGTATCATTTATGCTTTAAATCATTTCTAGATTCCTCATACCTGATACCCTGTAAGTAATTGTTAAACTGTATATTTTAGGGAATTATGACAAGACAAATGTAAATGCTCAATATGGAAACAAGTTTTTTCCTGATTATTTCCCACCCAAGGCTATCGACTCTGTGTATGTGGAACCCACAAATATGGACAACCAACTATACTAACAATACTGTAAAAAAATTTATAATTTATAATAAGGCAATATATATATTTCAATATACAAATACCTAAACAAGATTATACTTAAACATGTAAGACATGAGATGTTCTCACCTATCCACAGAATTGCTGCTGAAAGCAATCAACACAAATATCAACTCATATAGGTGGATTATGTTGGCAACTTAAATACCCATGAACAACACTATTGATAGAGACATGCTTTGTAAAAGTTATGAATAACTCAGCAAAGTTGTGAAAAAAATAAAATAAAATCTTTCCTCAATTTATATAGTTTTTACATTCCTGGAAATTCAATGTATATATTAATATTATAAAAGCATTTTGTGTTTATTTGTGAAATATTTAGGGCCAGCTAATGATGCCAGCTTTTTCCACTCACATTTGTACTATGTAGAACATCTGAAAGTTTCACAAGTGCAAATTTATACCTCCCATTCCCCTTTTATATTTATTCAAAACATGAAATACACAGACTTTTTGTGAGTTAGGCTTGCATCCTTTAAAATTAGTGATATTCAGAGTTTGAGGCTTTGAGGCTATTTCTAAAACCTATTGCCTAAGAATGGCCAGAGATTCCTAGAACATATTCTCCCAAGTGACACAAATGCCTTTTGAATTATTGGGTACATAGCTCTTTAGTATCACTGTGGCATAAAAAGAAAATATCATTTTTTAAAAACACATTTTCTGTGATCCCTTGGTGATTTTCCCTAGCCTGGCCCCAGCCTCAGCAGTAAAAAATAAACTGAGCTAGAAGAAAAGGACTAATAGGGCCAGGCCAAAGGGACAGAAAGGGCGCTAGGTTGCTAGGTTACCACTTGAGCCAATCCAAATAGTTCCAGAGGGGCAGCAGATACAGGACAGGTCCCTCTCTGGCCTACCAAGTTGAGGGTCCTCTCAAAGGAAGGGGATCAAAAGGTGGGGGAGGGATTCCAATCACTCACACTAGGCACAAGTAAAGAATGAGGCACAAGCACAAAGGAACAGACAGCCCTGTATTTCTAAAACCATTCAAGTCTCCTTCATTAATTGGCTTCCCCCCAAAAGAAAAGATTTCTTTATTAAGAAATACCAGAGTGAAAAAACCCCCAACACATACACATTTTTAGGCTCACACAAAAGTGCAGAGATTCACATATTAAACTGTATTTAAGTTAGAAAATAGATTTAAAAACAAAATACTTCTTTCCCCCAACAAGGTAAACAGATTTGGTGAATAGGAAAAGGGGCCTTAAGGATAAAGGCAGGATGGTCAGGACAGTAAGAATACAATTTAGCTGCTACAGAATTCGAACCCACCTCTAATCCAGCCCTACTCCTGGGGAAAAGTGCAAAGTGGGAGACAGTGATCTCAACTGGGACCAGCAGGGCTCCAGAGCCAAAAGGAAACAAATCCTACCTGCCCTCAGGTGTTTTGGATCACTGCCAGCCTTCCTGGCATGGGGAAATGGGGTATATAGGAAACATGAGGAATAGGGAGAGAGGGAGGAGCTGGAGAGAGAATCAGTTATTGGAAAAGATCAACATATATAAGACCCTTTTCCCTAGGGAAGATCAATCATTAAAGCTCACCTCTGATGAGAGCTCAGACTAGGGACAGTTCTGGCTGGTACAGGGTATGAATAGAACAGATGTTCAGGTCAAGGTATTAAACACAGCATATTTATAATGGAAAAGAAAGAGGGAAGGGAGTATGAGAAAGCAGAAACTAAAACAACAATTAGTTTGAACTAGAGATAAAAGTGAAAGTTTCTCCCACTCCTAAGGGTCAGCAGGAGAGTTGCTGCAGCAAGTTGAGGGAGGAGAGTTCCACAATGGGCCAAAGTGAGGAAATGTGCTAAGGCAGGATGGGCTGAATACTGATTAGAAAGGGGTTCACACGAGTGACAGGTTGACTGGGAAAACTCAGTAACTTCTAAACTCTCCAGGGTTGGCCTTATTTCAAACTAACTAAAATCTAACTATAATAAGTACCAAAGTGAGAGAAATGGAAGATGAATGGGAAAGTAGAAGCAGATATGAGAGGAATGTGAGTCCATCTGTCTCCTAATCCTCTACTCCTCACAAAACTCAACTCTTATGACAAGGAAAGAGTAAGACATACAGAAAACTCTGGGAGCAGCCAAATTTCACCAACTCTAATTAACTGGAAACAGTGAGATAAGAACTGGAAACGAGTCTTGCTTACAGATATTCAGAAAGAAATGTGTATCATCACTTGTAAAAGATTACTAATGACATTTTTCCAAGGAGAGGCCCTGGTAAGCCTGCTTGAATAACCAAGACCCATTTGCAATTAACAGTGTCTGCTTAAAAACAATATCCTAATAAAGAACTTACTCCCTTAAGTAAACCTCTCTACCCTTTTGATCTTAACACTGTTTATTGCTTAAAGGTCCTTTCTTTCTTCATGGACCAGAATAAGACAAACTTTGGTCCAGAATATAATATAGATCAATAGAGAATTTGAGTTTGGAAGCTATCTCTCCAACCCAAGGGAACCCTGGAAAATGGATGTATGGGTAATAAACAACCCCTTCCACCTCCCACCCCCCACCCAAGACACAAACACATTCACATCCCCAGATGGTTCTAGAAATGTAAGGGGAAGGAGGAGGCAGGCAGTTTGCATTACACACAGTTTAATCACCTTCAAATAGATTAAAAGTTCCGGTTTACACTCCCCTGCCCCCAATCCCCATAAGTCATCCAGACAGGACCCTGGCTTAGAAAGAGAAAAACACAGGTGCTCTAGGAAATATAGCCACATATAATACATAAATCTTCTTCCCTGAAATAGTGCAGGTCCTGAGCAGAGCTGACTGGGGGCTACAGCCCAATCCCAGGAAAAGTGGCTCTGGGACTCTGCCGGTGGAAGTGCTGGAAGAGTGGGGCTTGGAGGAAACCCCTAGTGTGGTTACCAATGCCCAAGGTGGGCCGAGGCCTTGGAGTGGGTTACCCAAAAGGGCAGCAGTGCTGGGCTTTCCCTCACTCAGCCGAGGCTTAATGGAAGTACTGGTTAGCCTTTTTTGTTTTCTTTTCTTTTTCTTTTTCTAATTTTTTTTGGTTTTTTTTTAGGAGATGGAGAGGAGGGGAGAGGAGAAAAAAAGGAAAGGAGAGGAGAGGAGAGGAGAGGAGAAGAGAGGAGGAGAGGACAGCCTCTCTGTGCCTTGGTTTCCCCATTTGTGCATTCAGGGCCTTTGCAGGCCTCACACAGGGAGTCTGAGGGGATAGTGTTTAAGTGAGCACTCAGGCTTCCTCTGAGGAAAAGGAACCACCAAAGTGCCAACTTTTATTACTGCCATTCGTGCTCCTAAAGGGAGCAAAAGCGAAAAGAAAAAAAAAAAAAAGTAAAAGGGGCTAATGAGAAAGGAGGCTAGATGAGGCAGAGAGTGTATGGGGCTATGCTGTTGGCATCTCATCAATTCTTACTGAGAATAGCACAGGTATTAAAGTTTCTGGAGACTCTACAAGAAATGTAAATTGTTATTTCTACTATGACTACTTACATATATCTAGTGAGGAAAGAGTGGGACTTGGGTATTACATAGTAGGCAGGAAACAAAGGAGAAGCTACACGAATAAATACAAGTGGTACCTGCCCTATTCCTAAAAGGACTGGCTGGCAATGCTGGCACTTGGTAGCTAGGAGACTCCTCCACCTCACTCCCCCTCCTCATTAGTTCTGAAGGAGGCAAGAACCCAGTAAGGATCCCCTGGCCAGAGGTGTCTGTGGCTATCTCTGGACTCAGGATATAGAGCAGCTTGAGAGGACTTAAGCCAGCCTCAAGAATATTTAGCTCCAGAATGAGACCAATGACCCCAAGCTTAAGAGCTGGGATCTGGAGAGAGAAGAGGAGAATCCAGAGACCCTGTGGCTAAGGCCATGGGAAACCAGTGCCACAGTCCAAGAGACCCATTTATCCAGTTGCCAGAGGTGACCGGTGTCTTCTGATACTTTCTTGAGTCCAGAAATTTTAAAAAAGATTGCAGCAAGAAAATGCCAATGAGCAATTGGGTGACTAAGACGAAAGAAAAACAGCAAAAGGGACAGCTTACTTGCTCTCTGTCTCAAATTTATCTTCTCCCCTGGAATCTCACATAGCCTTAATTAAACACAAAAGTCTCTTCCATAGATAAGCTACTTCTCAGCTTCCGCTGCCTCCTGTGGTGGCTCTGGGGGCTCTGGAGGTGGCATCTCTTCCGGAGTGCTGGTGTCCTCAGGCATCTCATTGGAGTTCAGCTGTTCTGTTGGGACCTGAGAAAGAAAAGATACCAGATCCAACACAAAGCTCTCTCTAAAATTAAATTCAGATAACCCACAGATACTGAATTCTTCCTCTAAAACCCTTGACAACACCGATGCTAAATCTGCCTACCATCACCAAACTCAGACCCAAGACCAGTCTCTACCATCTTCTCAACAGAATACAACTCGAACATTTAGTGCTACCTCTAAATGTCTGTTGTAGACAGATGCTTCCATTATTATTCATGGTAATAATAGCAGGGACCACAAATAATTACACACACTCCTCCCTTTACAACAGAATGCTATAACATACTTGTCTAATGGTTCTCAACCCTATTTTTGCCCTAACTATCTAGAATACCAAAGAAGGTAGGGTATCAAATGGTTACACATGCTTTAACAGTGTTCCCTAAGTGATTCAAAAATTCCATTCTTTCCCATATTTAACTAAGAATCACTTACCTACATTGTTGTGATTTGGGACCAGATTCATTGGAAAAATGATATTGAAAATGATGACAATAATGTAGAAATGTAAGTTTGGTGTACTTGAAAAAGAAACTTCAAAATTTAGGAAAGACTAGTAGAAAACAACAAAAAGTATTCACATAAAATAAGATTCTATTACAAAATAAGTTTAAACCTAGTACAAATCTATTAGAGCCAGACATAATGGCACATGTCTAATGAACCAATAAAGAAGTTCACCAAGGTTTCAGGATATAAGATTAGTATACAAATATCAATTGTGTTTCTATATACTCCTACCAAAAAACAATCCACAAATGAAATTAAGAAAATAATTTCATTCACAGTAAAATTAAAAATAATAAAATGCTAGCCGGGCATAGTGGCACATGCCTGTAATTCCAGCATTTAGAAAGCTGAGGCAAGAGGATCACTGTGAGTTTGAGGCCAGCTTGGGCTGCATATTGAGTTCAAGTCCAGCATGAACTACATAACAAGATCCTATCTCAAAAAATTTTTTAAATTTTAAGAATACTAAAATGCTTATGAATAAATATAACACAAAAGTACAAAACATACTTTAAAAACAACAAAATATTCATGAAAAAGTAAAAGACCTGAGTAAGTAAAAATATTGCTTGTGTTAATTACTCAAAAATTTTAATCTTATAACTAATCTCGTCAGGAGAGTAAAAGTTCCTGAATTGATCTATAAATCCAATGTACACCTCTATCAAAATTCTAGCTAGTCTCATTGCAGAAACTGATAATATGATCCCAGTATTCATATGAAAATTTAAAGGACCTATAATAGCCAAAACAATCATGCAAAAAAGAATAAAGTTAAAGGACTCTTCATAATTTTAAAATTTACTACAATGCTGAAGTAAACAAGGTAGTGTGGTATAGATATAAGTACAAATATACTGATAAACACAAAAGAACTGACAGTCAGTAAATAAATTGTCACATGTATAGTCAATCGATTTTCAACAAAGATGTCAAGACAATTCTATGGAAAAAAAGTCTGTTCAACCAATGGTATAAAGGCAACTGGATAACCACAAACAAAGGGAAGAATATGGACACCCTACTTCACAACATATATAAAAATGAATTCAAAATGAACCAAAATATAAATACAAGAGGTGAAATTATAAAACTCTTAACAGAAAACAGAGGCACTAGATCTTCATGACCTTGGATTCAGCAAGGTTTTCTTAGATGTGATACCAGAAGCAAAGGCCACAAAAGAAAAAATCAGATAAATCAGACTACATCAAAATATAAACTTTTAGGCTGCAAAGGATACCACCTAGAAAGTGAAAAGACAACCCAAAGAATGGGAGAAAATGTTTCCAAATCATGTATATGGTAAGTGCCTTGTATACAAATCACATAAAGAATCCATAAAACTCAACAATGAAAAACATAAATAACTCCATTTTAAAAAATGGACAAAGGAATTGAATAAACATTCCTCCAGAGAAGATATACAAAGGGCCAATACAGACATGGAAAGATGCCCAAAATCATCAGTCATCAGGGAAATGCAAATCAGAACCACAATGAGATACTACTTCACACCAACATAGATAAAATCAAAATGTCACATAGTAAATGTTGCCAAGGATGTAAAAAAGCTGAAACACTTATACACTGTTAGTGGGGGTGTTTTACTTTGGAAGAGTAGTTCCTCAAAAAATTAAACATAGGAATTACCATATTACCTAGTAATTTCATTCCCATATATATATACCCAAGAGAAATGAAAGTATATATCCATGAACAAACTTGTACATGAATGCTCATAGCACCACTGCTTAGTAACCAAATAATAACCAAAGACTGGAAAGAACCAAATGTCCATCAACTGATAAATAAATATGGTACATAGTCATATAATGGAATATTACATAGTCATATAAAGGAATGAAGTATGACTAAATGCTATAATGTAGATGAGCATTTAAAATATGCTAAGTGAAAGAAATCAATCATAAGGTACCACATATTATATAATTCCATTTATATGAAATATATAAAAGATGAAAATCTATAACAAACAAAAGTAGATTAATGGTTGTCTAGGAATGAGGCTAAAGTAATCAGGGAGAAAGAAAGAGCGACTGCCAATGGGTACAAGGTTTCTTGAGGGGGAGGGTGATAAAATGCTTTCAAATTAATTGTTGTGATGATTGTACAACTCTGTGAATATACTACACCAAGGAACTGTACATTTACTTGGGGATGACAATGTACAACGTATGTACCATTTTTACTCCCTCACTGAAGTACTTTAAATAAATTAAATGTTTCATGTTTAAGCATAAAAAAGGAATTATACATTTTAAATATGGATTCTATGGTATGTGAATCGTATTTCAGCAACATTCTTTAAAAAGAGAGTTTCAAACAGTAATTTTGGGGCATATTTTATAAACTATATCTTGAATAAGACAGCTGGGAGAGTTTCTAAATCTACATATTCCAGTGAATAAGCTCCTTCTACCAAGGTAGAACATGGCCCGCTGGCTCCATATTTGCTTCTGTAACATTTTATGCACCCCTTATTAAGGCACTTTTCACAACGCTGAACAATGGCCTGTTTTCTTATCCATCACCCACACCAGACAATGAGCTCCTTAAGGGTAAGAGACATTATATGCCTTGTTCACTGGTATAATCCCAGCACCCAGCACTGTGGCTGGTACAGAGTAGCTGCTCAAAAAAAAAAGTCAAAAAATTAGTAAAACTTAGTCTACCTCAATGGTACAAAGAATTGAAGGCAATGTCAGAGTAAAAGCAGAGACAGGAAAGCTAGGAAGATTAGGATATAAAATTAGCTAATTATATTGCTAAACTATAAAGGTAGTTTATACACTGCCTAGCAACAACTCAGCCATAGGTCAGGAACACTTACCGGGCTATGTGGCAAGAGGCTACTACTGGTCTCTTGAGTACTGGGAGGTCGACTTCCACTTTCTTCCAGTGGCAAAATACCCCTTCGATCCAGCACACTGAAAAACACAGGAAAGACCATCAAAGACGTAGCATTCATCACTCCACCCACCTGGCCCACTGAACCTTGCTGTGTACATCAGAAAACATAGCTAAGTATGGTGGTGCACACCTATAACCTTAGCACTCGGGAGGCTGAGGTAGAAAGATCACTAGGAGTTGGAGGCCACCCTGGGCTACAAAGTGAGTTCAATGTCAGCTTGTACAGTATTGTGAGACCCTGTCTCAAAAAGACAAAAAAAGAGAGAGAGAAAGAAAACATAAACTTGTCTTTTGGCAATCTAGCCTGATCCTAGTACAAGCCTATCTCCTATTCAGTTTTTCTTCCACAAACCAGTGAATGCCACATTAATCTAGGAATGAACACTTGAAATAAGAATGAAAGTTCATCCCTTCAAAACAGCCAGCTCCTCCTCCCCGCAAAAAATCAGCCCATGGTCTATGGCTTGTATATAAGTAATACCCCATGACAACCCTTAAAAAGACCTATTTGACTCCAAGGAACCACATTCAGAAAAATGCACCAGACCAGGTAACAGGACAAGGTTGAATCATTCATCCCAAGTTTCAGGACCTGTTGTTAGTCCCTTGAGTACCTGGGGGGCAGAGGGCCACATAGCACTTCACAGCAGTTCTTCACAATGTTGCCATGGCTGTAAGGATTTTGAATGCGATTCTTCCCTGTCCATGATCCTTTGATCTGAAAGATAAAAGTCAAAGCTTACATTAATAACTATGCTGAAGAAACACATGCAGCATAGGATAATGAGAAATTTCAGGAGGTAGATGGGGGCAATAGATGTACAACAGCATGAATATATTAAATACTACATTTAAAGATGGATAAATGCCAAACCTTATGTCATGTATAAAGTATATTATCACAATAAAATATATAGACATAAAAATATTCACAAAAGACAGAAAAGTAGGTTAATTAGTGATATAGATTATCTTGATTTAAAAATATATAGCATAGCATGGAGGTTTTCCAAAGAATTTTATAGCATACTATAAAAACACCTGTATAAACAAGTTTATTACGGTACAATTCATAATAGCCACAAGTTGAGCCAGCCTATGTGGCAACAACAAATGAATGGCTAAATATGTTGCATATGTACATATACCATGGAAGTATTATTTATCTGAAGAGAATAAAATCACATAGTTTACAAGAAAATGGATAGAAATACTATGCAAAATAAGCTAGACTCAAAAAGACAGGTACTGCATGTTTTTCCTAACATGTGAAATCTAAAAATGAAAAATAAATATGGTATGAAAGAAGGGGTACTAATTATTAGACAACAGGGAGGAAATAAGATTGTGATGGAGAAAAATGGGAGGATGGTTATGAACAAAATATGTTATATACATTTATGAACTTTTTTTTAACTTGAAAGAGATTGAAAGCTTCTCCCAAAATATATAATATATACATAAACATACATGGGAATAAGTCTAAACCAGTACAGACAACTACAAATCATATAATAACAAAGGTGATACCTAAAGGTAAAATTACAGGGATTTGTTCTGTTTTTTGCTGATCTGTATTTTCTGATTTTCTACAGTGAATGCCTAGTAACTGGTAACTTTTTTAAAGCAAAGATTTACTCAGGGCTACTAAGTTTCTCTCTCTAGTCTACAAGTAGACTTATCAGGTAGCCTTTAAGGACCTATGAAGAATTAAACACCTTATATTCACCCAACTTCTCAACTTCCTAATGCCCTATAGGCATTTAGCTCCAGTAAAAAGCAGTCTGCCCCACGCAGAGTTTTCAACAATCTGCTACACTAAGTTGCTTCTTATCTGAACCTTCTGGGCTCTGGAGATCAAGGGGCTTTTTTGCTTCTTTTTTTTTTTTTTTATCGGTACCAGGGATTGAACTCACCACTGCGCGCTTACAAAGCAGGCCCTTATGTCGCTGAGCTAAATCCCCAGCCCCAAGAGAGAAAAGGCTTTGGGGAGAATATGTAGTGAGAAGACAAAGTGGACTCACATCTTCATTGGTTGTCTGGTTGAGAGCCACGAGGAAAGTGTGAAATCCAGTCAGTCCCACGACGGACCAGAGCGTGAAAAAGCAAATGAGGACTTCTAGAACAGTGAGGGTAAGTTAAGGAATGTTGAAGAAACCACACCAGGGGACTTGATGTCTCAGTTCACACTCATATCTCCAGTCAAGCCATCTTTACTTCTTGGAAAGAATGTTATAAAAAGCCAAATATACATATAGAACAATAGATGAACCCTAAGGTAGATCCTTTATGAAAGGTAAAGGATTTTTGTTTATTCAGTATGAATAAATATCTAGTATCTCTAGTATATTTAAGTATCTATTCATTATTAGCTCTTTGAAGGTGACATTTAAAAGGGGGCAAAGTTAAACAATGTCAGCCATCACTAGCAATGGAAATTTCATAAAAACTAAAGTTTATAAATGAAGAGTTAGTGGCAAAATAAGGATATGATTTATAGAAATCTTTCCTAAATCTCCTTTTTGGAAATTCAGCCACTATACAAGATAAGCCTTAGGTGCAACAGGAAGAAGGGGCTTCTAGTAAATGATACACGAAGTATAGTGAGGCAAAGGATAGCCCTCCACCACAGGAGATAGACACGAGCCTGGAAGAAAGATTTTGGAGAGAGGCAACTGAGAAGTGGGTAAGAAAAAGACCTCCCTTTAAGCCCTGGTCACCTTCATTCTGGTTGCCATCACCAAGACTAGACTTTTTAATTTTAGGCTTTGGCATACTCTAATGTCTGAAAAACTAGATGGTGAGAGAACTGTAGGGGGAAAACATGCTGGAAAGTAGTTTACGAAGACTTCACAGGGACATACTGCCAGGGGAGGATATGTTCCAGGAGTTTCTTTCAACGTCTCCAGGAAGCCAATTTTCAAGGATTCTGTGAAATTGGGAGGAGTAGAGAAAAATTAGTGACTTTAGTTAAAACTACAAAGTGTCCTGCTGCCTACTCGCTTCATTTTCCTCACTATCCTGTTTTACACATTGGCAGGACCAAAGCTGTCATTCAGGCAAGGGTGAAAAGTCTCACCCCCAATTTGGAAAGCTAGTGATGGAGGAATTCACATTTCCAATACCAAGCAGAGCCAAGCACCGGGCACTCTTCCATTTTCCCATCCTCAGATATAGGCATGAAGGGGATATTAATAGAGGAAAGAAATAAGACATGGTCAAGAAAATCCTCTCTCCTCACATATCTGTGTCCCTCCCTTATGCAAAATTCAGCTCAAAGCTTCTCTCTTTGTCTTGATCAAGACCACCCCTTAACAATGCATGCAACTTGCCCTTTGACTGTTAGAGTGTATGTGTGTGTGTGCTGTGTGGTGTGTGCACAGGCACATATGGGGGTGTGTATTTTCTACCTCCCAAGTAGACCATAGCTTCTACATATAATATTCTACATTCGTTGGTAAAATCTCTTACATTACCTAGCAAAAAGTAGGTCTGCCAGGCAGAAGAGGAGAGGTGGCACAGAGCCAAAATACATGTCCAACATTTAGGATCACTTCAGAAAGGCCCAACACCAGTAATGATGGCTCTCATGCCCTCATCAGAAGGTAGAGAAAAGACCAACACACTCAGTAAATACCTACGAGATGAAGTCTGCAGCCCAGCTCAAGAGCAAACAGTAGTGCTTCTAACCTTCTTAAGGTGCCTTCACAAGTGGGCTTAAGTTCCACTAGAAGCCCAACCCCCCAAGCCCTCCCCCATCCCATACCACCCCACCCCAGTAACAGACACTGCCCTGCATACTCACTGAGGGCCACATAGACGATGTTGAAGGCAAACACATAAATTGTGAGGAGGGAGAGAGAAAGGATGAAGAGGTAGAAGTATCGGTAGTTCCTCTTTCCAACACAGTTCCCCACCCAGGGACAGTGATGGTCGAAACGCTCTGTGGGGAGAACGAAAGAGTCCAACGCCAAAGCCTCCAGAACAAGACAAACCCACCAACCACATAATCCTAATCCAAAAATCCCAGGGTCAGCACCTACTTTGGTTGTAAAAAATAATATACGTTTCTTCCTGTTATGGCGCTACATGTTTGTAATCCCAGCACTCAAGAGGCTGACAGAGGAGGATCACTGTGAGTTCAAGGCCAGCCTGGTCTACAAAGTGAGTTCAAGGCCAGCCTGAACTGTACAGTAAAATCTTGTCTCAAAAAGACAAAAAAATGGGCTTTTATTCTTTTTCAAAATGTTTCTCAGCCACCTTATTTGACGCCCATAATGACCCACCCTGGAAGTTAAGCAAAAAAATGCTTCTTTCTTTGTTTGTGGTTGGTTGATTGGTTTGCTTTTGACACAGGGTCTTGATCTGGACCTTAACTCATTACGTAGCCCAGGCTGGCCTTGAAGTGATCTGCCTGCCTCAGCCTCTGAGTGCTGGAATTACAGGCATGCACCACTAACTATATCCAGCTAAAAAGATACCCTTCCCCTTATTTTACAGATAAAGAAACTAAGGCTCCAAGTGACCTGCCTCACTTCACTACTTAAGAGCAGAGAAATTACTTTTCCAAATAAAATCCTTAGTAGGTGAACCTACAAAGTTCAAGAAAAATAAATAGGTAAAGACAGTCAAGACAACTTTGAAAAATAATGTGGTTTTTCTTGACCTCCAATAATTAAAAATAAAAACTATAATATACTTAAAATGTATGGCCTAATGCAGGGAAATAGAGCCCCAAAGCACACTTTAGAACATAAAATAATTTAGTATGTAATAAACACAGCGTTGCAAAAGGAAGTATAATTCCATAAGCAATTCTGCAACAATTGCCTAACTGGTGGGAAGTCAAGTCACTTTTTTTCTCATGCTATTTGTCAAAATCAATTCTACATGAGTTAAGAGTTGTAAGTAAAGACAAAATGAAACCAAAAGATGTAAGGAATAGATACACATTTATTCTCTGTATAAAGAAGGAATTTTTACACACAAATGTAATGGAGGAAAACAGAAGACAAAGAAAAGTGGATTTGACTCCATGATCCTTAAAAAATGATTTTACATGTGGCATAAAATACTTTAAAGAAAATTAAGGAGCTGTGCATGGTGGCTCATGCCTGTAATTCCAGCACTCAGGAGGCTGAGGCAGGAGGAACGTTGCAAGTTCAAAACCAGTCTGGGCTGTCTGTGCTACAAAGTGAGCTCAAGGCCAGCCTAAACTGCATAGAGAATCCCTGTCTCAAAGAAAAAAAAAAAGAAAGAAAGAAAATTAAGGAGGAAAAATAATGACAATGCACACAAATTTGTACCTAACTACAGGAAAAAAACCTTACGAAGCAGAAAGAAAATACATATACTTCTTCAAGAAAATTGTCAAAGTTTACCTGAAATTTACTGAGGATAGGTTTTAAGTGTCTACATCAGATATTCACACACATTGGTTATATGTGTAGTATGTGACTAATTTTATTGTGGTAATCAAATCATCACACAGTAGTCCTTAAATATATAAAATTTCTGTCAATCATACCTCACTAAAGCTGGAAATAAAAATAAAATACAAGGCCAAGTGTGGTGGCACACGCCTGTCATCTCAGCACTTGGGAGGTCATGGCAGGAGGACCACTGTGAGTTCGAGGCCAGCCTGAGCTATATAATAAGTTCAAGGCCAGCCTGAACTACATAGTGAAACCCTGTCTCAAAAGGACTGGAAAAAAATTAAATTAAATTAAATTAAGTTTATATACAAAAAAAGAAATATCATATAAACAAGTATTTTTCAGATTTAATAATAATTCAATGCAATATTAATCAAACAATAAGATATCTGTTGTCCATCAAAATCAGAATATAAATAATCATAATCAATGCTAGCAAGAATAGGGTAAAATGGACACTCTACTGCTAATGGGAGCATAAACTGAGAAAGCCCTTCCACAAAGCAATATGGCAGTACATATTAAGAGCCTTAATAAAACTGATACACTTTTAGCAGAATAAATTCATTTTCAGGAATTTCTCATAAGAACATAGAGATATACTCAGAAATTTAAGTTCACTAGTTTTTATTGAAAATTATATTGTGATGAAATATAAATAAAATAATTTGCCATTTTAAACATTTTAATTGCACAACTCAGTGGTATTACTTTCACAATATTACACAACCACATTGCTATATTCACAAACTTTTCATTATCCAAAATAGAAGTATTATACCCATTAAGCAATAATTTTCCATTTTCCCCTTCCCCTACCCCCCAGCAATTTGTTTATATGAATTAACCTATTGTAGATATTTCTTTTCTTTTTGTCTTTTTCATTTTTTTTTAATCAGTACCAGAGATCGAACTCACGACTGCCTGCTTGCAAGGCAGGCGCTTATACCGCTGAGCTAAATCCCCAGCCCCTAGACATTTCATTTAAGTACAGTGATACCTTAGTTCATAACCTCAATTTTCTCCATGATTCCAGTCCAAACTAAACTGGACAAAAACTGAATCAAATTTTTCCACAAGGACAACATTGATCCTAACCATTGAAATTGATTCAGTTCTTCTCCAACTTGTTTTGTGACCATAATCATAGAAAGAATCAAGTTCATGAACCAGGGTACCACCATATAGTCAAAAAATATTTGTCCTTCTGTTTTCATTTTTTTAAATGTTTTTGGTACCAGCAATCAAACTCAGGACCTTGTGCTTGCCAGGCTAGTGCTTATGCCACTGAACTATATTCCCGGCCTTGATATTTGTTCTTTTGTATGTGGCTTCTTTCACATAGCATGTTTTCAAGATGTGCCCACGTTGTAACATACATAAGTACTTAATTCTTTTTTATGACTGAATTATATTCCACCTTATGGATATAGATATACCTCATTTTGTTTATCTAACCATCTTGGTTTGTTTCTACTTCTGGCTATTATGAATAATGAGATGGAGAAGGGTTGAAGGGAAGGTAGGGGAATGAGAAAAAAGAACCAAGTTATATCATGTACAGTTATAAATTCTTTTTGATGAATGTGATCATTATGTATAGCTAAAATGTACCAGTAAAATCTAATGGAAGAAAAAAATAAGGCTATAACATCTGTATATAAATATGTTTTGAATCACTGTTTTCAATTTTTTTTGAGTATTGTTATAGAGTAAATCATGTCCCCTGGCTAATTCATACACCCGAAGCCCTAACTTCCAACATAGGTGTTATCTGGATGTAGGCACTTTACGGAGACAATTAGGTTAAATGAAGTCATAAGAGTGAAGCTGTGATCCAACAGGACTGGTGTCCTCATAAGAGATGACACTGAGAGTGTGTGAGCACAGAGTAAAGACCATGGTGAAGACATGGCAAGAAGGAAGCCTCCTATAAGCCAAAGACAGAGGTTTTAGCAGAAACCAACCTGCTAAAACCTTGATCTTGAAATTTCTAGACTGCAGAACTGTGAGACGATAAATTTCTGCTGTTTAAAATCACCTGGCTTATGGTATTTTATTACAGTAGCCTAAGCAGATTAATACTGGTATATATACTCAAGAGTAGAATGGCTATCAAATGGCAATTCTGTAACCAGCGGGCAAAATGCAACATTTACAAGTTAGATTTCTTGGCCAGGAGCAGCCATGCAGGCCAGGAGAAAAGCCAAGAAGGTAATCCACATCCCTCTGTGAGCCAGTAGCATTTGTGGGCCAGGAGGAGAACCAAGAAGCAAACCTGTGCCTTCTCGTGACCCAGCAGCAGTTGTGGGCCAGGAGGAGAACCAAGAAGCCAACCCATACCCTTCCATGAGCCAGTGGTAGCCATATGAGCCAGGAGGAAAACCAAAAAGACAAGCCATGCTCTCATATGAGCCAGCCAGTGTGCGGGCTGGGAGACAAGAAGAGTACCACACCCCGAAGTAAGCAACCAGCTGATTCCGAGGAACACAGGCTGAGATGATAGCAACTAAAGTAAAAAAAAAAAAAAAACAAACCTTAATGACTGTATTGTTTGATTGACCTTGCAGGCCTAAAGCTAATAGTCTAAGCATCTATTTAGAGGATAACAATATACAATATAGCAGGGGAATTTCCTTCTGTCTTGTTTTTGAAATCCAACATTGTTCTCACCATTTTGTTTTGTTCTGTTTTATTGTTTTGTTTTATTCCATTTAAAATTTTTAAAAAGCATGAGGTCATAAGTTTGATCTCTGGTACCAAAAACTAAAAAAAATTTAAAAAGAAATGTTAAGGTTTTTTTTTCTAGAGACATACAGTTTCTTCAAGCTTACTCAGGCCTACATCAGTCTGATCACCACCCGCTTCTCTTCAGATGCTGGCCCCATTAAGTCAAATTTCAATTTTGTTTCCACAGAGGTGGAAAAGACTGGCCAGAAGATGTTACCTATTGTCGTACCATATTCTTTCTCCCTTCTGTTCCTTACTATAAAAGGTTCTTGTGCACTTGGACACAACAAAATGGTGATTTGGATAATAAGGCCCCTCTGTCTCCTCAGAGCTAACTGTCATAAATCCTTTTTTCCTTTTCACCAAAATAAATGGCCTCCTTTGGTCAGTAGCAAGCAAATGAACTTGAGGATATGGACCTACGTAGCTGGTAACAATTCTATGTTTAACTTTTGAGAAACCAAAAAACTATTTTCCACAGTGGCTGCACCAGAAATAAGAAGGTTCCAATTTCTCTGCTTCCTTAAGGTTAATAATTATGATTACAGGGTTAAAATAATGACTAAAATGGAATAGTGAGTAATGTCTAATGATAGAAGAGTGCTACATAAACTAGAATATAACTATGAATACACAGTCATTAAAATAATATCTTCAAAAATATTAAAGATGTAGAAAAAAGCTCAGAATTCTAAGCTACAAAAGCAAGATTAAAAGTTACCATGTATGGTACCATTTCACCAATGAAGAATTGGAAGAAAATGTGGAAAATATGGAT